CTCTCTCTCTCTCTCTCTCTTTCTCTCTCTCTCTCTCTCTCTCTCTCTCTCTCTCTCTCTCTCTCTCTCTCTCTCTCTCTCTCTCTCTCTCTCTCTCTCTCTCTCTCTCTCTCTCTCTCTCTCTCTCTCTCTCTCCCTCTCTCTCTCACTATCAATTAACATGGTGGTTGGGTGGTAACTGCGTGCCTTATTCAGTGATTAGGGCAGTCGATTCACAGCGGGTTGAACCCGAGATCGATTCCCACTGCAGGACGGACTGGCTCGTCTGGCTTGGATACAAATATCCAAGCTCGTTAATCCAGCCCCCAAACCCCCAGCCCGTCCTTCAAACAAAGACCTAAAAGGGATTCCATCACTTTTATCCATCACAAAGTGTTGTTTATGAATGAAAAGCGGCTTACACATGACTCACAACTGATGACGTCCGAACACTTCCGGAACAAGTGCTTCGCTCACGTCCTCTGTTCGAACCACAACGCTATAAATGCTTCACCCACTTACTACAAATACAAATAATCGCCAACAGAACCTAAACACCTAACCTAACCAGTGTCTAAATATGCACAATATGCTAATATATAACATTATTAATTTATATTTGAGAAAACTCCTATTTTGACTGAACAGCATGTTAAAATTGATGAATGCGTCTGTGGGGTCGACCACCGGATGGAATGGACTTGGTCAAGAGGAAGAGTTGGGACGAGACGTGTGAGCACGTCTTCGTTCACCTGATGCCTCTTTTAACCTAGCAGTAAACACGTAAGGTCCATACATACCATACACCAAATGTTCCTACAGGAATATAGATCCCATCTCCCTGCCTGGTTATCTTGAGGTTATCTTGAGACGATTTCGGGGCTTTAGTGTCCCCGCGGCTCGGTCCTCGACCAGGCCTCCACCCCCAGGAAGCAGCCCGTGACAGCTGACTAACACCCAGGTACCTATTTACCGCTAGGCTTGTCTGGCATCTCTGTGATGATCGCGTCAGAACTCAGGCGACTACATCATCGTGGTCTCCAGGAAGCTGCCTCCAAAGAATTGAACAGGAGAACACATTCAAACCTTAACTAATACATCATTATACATCTGCTGTGGTTTACTTCCGTTCATTGTATAATAAACTATTAACATTTCTCAATTTGTATAGTATACAGTAGTTTACTTTTTTGACATATAGAGGGAGTGTGTGCGTGATGGGTACAGTGAGCTGAGGCCTACTCATTGTAGCACTGTGAGCGGAGGCCTACTCACTGTACCACTGTGAGTGGAGGCCTACTCACTGTACCACTGTGATTGGAGGCCTACTCACTGTACCACTGTGAGTGGAGACCTACTCACTGTACCACTGTGAGTGGAGACCTACTCACTATACCACTGTGATTGGAGGCCTACTCACTGTACCACAGTGAGTGGAGACCTACTCACTGTACCACAGTGAAGTACCTTCACCTCCAGGTCAAGGCTCTCGCTCTAAGAGGCAGGAACCTTAGACATCCATTCTTAACTGTCCGCCTGTGTACACCCAGCAGTAATTGGGTACCTGGTTGTTAACCGATTGGCGGGTTGTGTTCCAGGGGGAACTAGAGGGTATAAGACTTACCTTATGCTATAGACAGGGAAAGCTCTCAGCCTGCTAAACAGGAGTCCAAAAGCCGTCTGTTCCTGTACTCACCTGTTTATAAAAAAGGTTTCCTGTCTCCTGTTGAGGGCTGCCTGTTGCTCCTCCTACAGGCATGGATGGACAGGAGCCTCTATGACCCTCTAACACTCCCGTCCTCACACACTCACTATGAACGCTCCCTCACTCCAGAATTCGGCCCCGGACCATCTTTCCGCCCATCAGCGGGGGGACAACGGGGTACTTCTCTCTGCACCTTGTTAGAGGCAGCTCGTACTGCTCGTGCTGTTGTTTTGTTGTTAGATGGTTGGACTTGTGATGTGGACGGTCAGACGCTATGGTGTAGTGGTAAGACACTCGCCTGGCGTTCCGCGAGCGCTATGTCATGGGTTCGTATCCTGGCCGGGGAGGATTTACTGGGCGCAATTCCTTAACTGTATAACCTCTGTTTAACGCAACAGTAAAATGTGTACTTGGTTGTAACAACGACTCTTCGCGGCGGGGATCGTATTCCAGGGACCTGCCCGAAACGCTACGCGTACTAGTGGCTCTACAAGAATGTAACTTTGCTCAGCGATGTGTAAACTCTTAGTAACATCAATAAACTTATTTCAATTTCAACTCTTAGTAATGTCTGGCCACGAACACAGGGAACACACACTATGCTCAACAGTATGTGTGTTTGATATAAAGTTATTGATATGAGGTATATGTTTGATATAAAGTTATATTATATAAAGTGGAGGTTATAAGTAGACTGTATGATGAGGCAGGCTGGCTGGGGGCTGGTCTCTGAGGCAGGCTGGAGGCTGGTCTCTGAGGCAGGCTGGTGGCTGGTCTCTGAGGCAGGCTGGAGGCTGGTCTGTGATGCATATAGGGAATCGAACACAGGACCTTCCGGCTGTGATCCGACTGCGCTACCTACTACGCCACAGAGGCTATGTAATACGACACGTGGAGCATGTGAAGGGAGACGCCACATGAAGCTCCTCTCTTATACATTAGTCTACGTGAAAGACCTCATCAAAGAAAACAAATCTTGTTGATATTGTAGTGGAATAGAAGAAAACGTTTATAGTAAACTCCTATATTTCTACTACAGTATTGATATAAATTCGATTGAAACAAATTCCTTCTGTGTATATAACGTTTGAATGCCAGAAAATTGCTTTCATAACTCAACGACTGAATCAGAAGCTGTCTGTTTTGGTCTGCAATAAACTGATAAACCATAACTGTTATTCCTTTAAAGTAAACATTGTGTTTACAATGGAGTTGTTAGTTTTTAGGATGTAAACAGCTATACACTTCAACTACCCTCATGGACCTACCCTCACACACACTCATCACCATCCTCACACACTCATCACCACCCTCACACACTCATCACCACCCTCACACACTCATCACCACCCTCACACACTCATCACCACCCTCACACACTCATCACCACCCTCACACACTCATCACCACCCTCACACACTCATCACCACGCTCACACACTCATCACCACCCTCACACACTCATCACCACCACCCTCACACACTCATCACACCACCCTCACACACTCATCACCACCCTCACACACTCATCACCCTCACACACTCATCACCACATCACCACCCTCACACACTCATCACCACCCTCACACACTCATCACCACCCTCACACACTCATCACCACCCTCACACACTCATCACCACCCTCACACACTCATCACCACCCTCACACACTCATCACCACCCTCACACACTCATCACCACCCTCACACACTCATCACCACCCTCACACACTCATCACCACCCTCACACACTCATCACCACCCTCACACACTCATCACCACCCTCACACACTCATCACCACCCTCACACACTCATCACCACCCTCACACACTCATCACCACCCTCACACACTCATCACCACCCTCACACACTCATCACCACCCTCACACACTCATCACCACCCTCACACACTCATCACCACCCTCACACACTCATCACCACCCTCACACACTCATCACCACCCTCACACACTCATCACCACCCTCACACACTCATCACCACGCTCACACACTCATCACCACCCTCACACACTCATCACCACCCTCACACACTCATCACCACCCTCACACACTCATCACCACCCTCACACACTCATCACCACCCTCACACACTCATCACCACCCTCACACACTCATCACCACCCTCACACACTCATCACCACCCTCACACACTCATCACCACCCTCACACACTCATCACCACCACCCTCACACACTCATCACCACCCTCACACACTCATCACCACCCTCACACACTCATCACCACCTCACACACTCATCACCATCCTCACACACTCATCACCATCCTCACACACTCATCACCACCCTCACACACTCATCACCACCCTCACACACTCATCACCACCCTCACACACTCATCACCACCCTCACACACTCATCACCACCCTCACACACTCATCACCACCCTCACACACTCATCACCACCCTCACACACTCATCACCACCCTCACACACTCATCACCACCCTCACACACTCATCACCACCCTCACACACTCATCACCACCCTCACACACTCATCACCACCCTCACACACTCATCACCACCCTCACACACTCATCACCACCCTCACACACTCATCACCACCCTCACACACTCATCACCATCCACTCACACACTCACACACTCACCACCCCTCACACACTCATCACCACCCTCACACACTCATCACCACCCTCACACACTCATCACCACCCTCACACACTCATCACCACCCTCACACACTCATCACCACCCTCACACACTCATCACCACCCTCACACACTCATCACCACCCTCACACACTCATCACCACCCTCACACACTCATCACCACCCTCACACACTCATCACCACCCTCACACACTCATCACCACCCTCACACACTCATCACCACCCTCACACACTCATCACCACCCTCACACACTCATCACCACCCTCACACACTCATCACCACCCTCACACACACACCACCCTCACACACTCATCACCACCCTCACACACTCATCACCCTCACACCTCACACCACCCTCACACACTCATCACCACCCTCACACACTCATCACCACCCTCACACACTCATCACCACCCTCACACACTCATCACCACCCTCACACACTCATCACCACCCTCACACAATATAAAGTTAGGTCAGGTTAGGTTAGGATGCACAATAGACAAGATTCTAAAATTGCTCCCCCCAAAATTTTTATATCCCCCAGACGCTGCGAGCAAAATACGTCCTTTACAAAAAAAGTAATTCGACAATTATAATTACAATACAATTCCTTTCTAAATCAATCTGGGTTAAATAAACACAATAAAATGCACACTCTTTATTAGGCACACTTGTGTAGAGTCATTAGTGGTTATGTTAACCTGGTGTGTGGAAGGTAGTTAGCCAAACAATAGAGAAAGTAGTTCGTTAAACTAGGGGGGGTAACAATGATGTATTAATGTGTTTATATGAAATGACGTTATGTTATGTATTGTTACAAGAGAAATGCAGGAAGCAGCAGGTAATATCGAGGCTACGGAGAGACTTGGGGCCACTCATCCTATTGGTCTTAGTTTGATTTCTAGCAACTATATTAAGAGTAATATATATATATATATATATATATATATATATATATATATATATATATATATATATATCCCTCAAGTTCTCAGCGGTCCTACTGCAAGCAATTCATTGATTGATGAAGATTAAGCCACCCAAAAGGTGGCACGGGCATGAATAGCCCGTAATGCAAGCAATTATATATTCCTTTAATATCCTCATAACTTCTCCCTAAGAATTCCACATTCCAAGACGTTCTGTGATGAACAATCGTAATTAGTGCACATATGTACTGGCTCTATCTATAAATCTATCAATTTTTGTATCACCTCTTCTATGTATGTACCTTACCTGAATAAACATTTGAATTTGAATACAATTAATTCTAGTTGTCCCTCGAGGCGCGCCTCAGACATCACGGCATTATATATCTAACATCCGACTGCTGCCATCAAGGCAGCAGTCGGATGTGTATATGTTTTTATGTTATATGTTTTTATGTTTATTAAATAAACATAAAAACTACAACACTCTTGTCACCTAAAATTATATACGGTTTTTCCTCTCTGCTGTTCTTTTCCTCATTCTTCCTTTATTCTATTTTCCCTCTTTGTTGTTGTTTCAGATTTAGCTACTCAGAACGAAGTGTCCATGTAGCACGGGCTATGGCGAGCCCGTAATCCCCTCTATTCTACTTTGCCTCTGATGTAATCCTGGTCTCCCAAGCGCCGGGCGGCGTCTCCAGGCGCCATCATCGACACCTTCACAGCCACGAAGCCTTTCTTGTAGAGAGTCGGTCCGGGTCGCCCGCCCTGCTCTAGTGACGTCACGGTGCTCCTTAGCCACTCAGCAGCAAATATCTGTGGGAAGGGGGAGGGACTTAGTGACGTCACGGTGCTCCTTAGCCACTATATTTCTACATAAGGAACATGCAGATAAAACTGTAGAGAGAATAGCAGTGTAAATCTGAAAGGATCTATTTACCTATTTACAATTAACCTATTGTAAATCTAGGTAAATGAAGTGTAAGTGTAAATGAGCACTATGTTTACATCTATATATAAGAAGAGTGAACATAGGAAGGGGGAAGCTAATGGAAATAATATTCAGAATTTAATGGGACTTAAACATAAAGTTAATGGAATGTGGATAACTGAGCAGGAAATCATGAATGGTGAAAATCAACTAGAATAGTGAGGTGAACAGCGCACCCCCCCCCCCTGTACCACGCCACGGTACAGGGGGCACTACGGGCTCACCATAGACCGTGCTGCTTGGAACGTTTTGTTCCAAGTAGCGAATCTTAAACAACAACAACAGGTACAAGGCCCAACCTGGGAATACCCAGATCGCTCGTTCGAGTCGCCTCCGTCTTCACAGTGATCGTATCATTGATATATTACATGTGTGTGATATCTTTGTGTTTGATGAACTGTAATATTGAGAAAGATAACGGTAGAGATTACATAACTGCGGTAATTATCATGTAAATCAAGCACAATTCATGTGGAAAATCTATTAGGTAATTTGGAGGGATGGGGAATATTAGGGGGAAAGCGCCAAGCCATTACGACTATATATATATATATATATAGCACTTGGAAGGGGGTCAGGAATTGGAGTGAAGTGTCATGTTGTTGTTGTTATAGATTCAGCTACTCGGAACAAGTTCCAAGTAGCACGGGCTATGGTGAGCCCGTAACTTACCTGGCACAGGAGCGGGGCAAGTAGCACGGGCTATGGTGAGCCCGTAGTGGACTTACCTGGCACAGGAGCGGGGCAAGTAGCACGGGCTATGGTGAGCCCGTAGTGGACTTACCTGGCACAGGAGCGGGGCAAGTAGCACGGGCTATGGTGAGCCCGTAGTGGACTTACCTGGCACAGGAGCGGGGCAAGTAGCACGGGCTATGGTGAGCCCGTAGTGGACTTACCTGGCACAGGAGCGGTGCAAGTAGCACGGGCTATGGTGAGCCCGTAGTGGACTTACCTGGCACAGGAGCGGTGTGAACTGTCAGCGAGGCACTCACCCTTGTAGTCTGTGATATCCTGAGGGCGATGCTCGGAGTCACCTGCAGAAGCACGATAACCACCTTGGTCCACAGCCTCGCTTCCTCCGCCACGTAATTGACGTAGTCGAGGATAACCGCCCCGGCCTCCGCGGCTCTCTCGGCGCTCAAGGATCTCCTGAAGGTGTCTACACTCGTCTCTATTACCCTGACGAAGCCACCTGCGGCTGCGGCTCGGATATTCTGCAGCAGCTGCGGCAGGCGGCTGGCCGGCTCCGTTGCGATTTCTCTCAGAATCTTGAGTGCTTCCTGGGCTAAGGTCGTGAAGCGAGAGATGAGGGCAGCGTAGATGCTTCTCGCTCTGATGAATGATGCTTGGATGGCTGGTGGGATGCTGGTTAAGGCATCGGACGAGGCGCTGACCAGTCTCTGGATGGGTGCCCGAGCTTCAGGTGGTAGACGACCAAGAGCATCCAAGTATACAATCGTCAGTCTCTCAACTGCTCCCTGTACGACGGGGGAGAGACGGTCCATGGAGTCATTAGAGACAGTTTGGAGCCATTCCACTGATGCCTGAGTCCAGGGTGTTAGACGGGCCAGGAGGTCCGTATATGCACTTCTCAAACTGTCTATGGATGTCTGAATGACGGGTGACAGACGGGTGAGAAGATCCGTATATGCACTTCTCAAACTGTCTATGGATGTCTGAATGACGGGTGACAGACGGGTGAGAAGATCCGTATATGCACTTCTCAAACTGTCTATGGATGTCTGGATGACAGGTGACAGACGGGTGAGAAGATCCGAATATGCACTTCTCAAACTGTCTACGACTGTCTGGATGACGGGGGTAAGACGGGTGAGAAGATCCGAATATGCACTTCTCAAACTGTCCACGGCTGTCTGAATGACGGGTGACAGACGGGTGAGAAGATCTGTGTACAAATTCCTCAATCTTGCAACAAGGATCTTCGTATCTGGAGGGAAGTTTGCAGCGACAGTCTCCGTCACCTTCCGGAAGGAGAGGTCTCTCAACAGGGCGTTGACCTGAGTGAAGACGTCGATGGTGACCCTGATTGACCTTCGGGCGAGGGTCATGGCCACGCCCACCTCTTCCCCTGGCCTAGCCTCGCGCCTTAGCTCCTTGTATAAGCCAACCAACTTGGCCTGTCCAAATTCCACCTGTGGGGACAGACAGGTGTTTAGTCTCTGTCGACGGGAGTACGACCCTGTCCTTCAGGATGATGAGGCAAAGAAGAATAATGATGAATTACCAAAAAACTAAAGATATTATAGCTTATGCTAGGAGCCGGTCGGCCGAGCGGACAGGACGCTGGACTTGTGATCCTGTGGTCCCGGGTTCGATCCCAGGCGCCGGCGAGAAACAATGGGCAGAGTTTCTTTCACCCTATGCCCCTGTTACCTAGCAGTAAAATAGGTACTGTACCTGGGTGTTAGTCAGCTGTCACGGGCTGCTTCCTGGGGGTGGAGGCCTAGTCAAGGACCGGGCCGCGGGGACACTAAAAAGCCCCGAAATCATCTCAAGATAACCTCAAGATATATGCAATTAAGATATACAAACTATAACTGACAAATATTTTATTTACTTAAAAGAATGACGTTTAGAAACATGTTTCACACAATAAAAATCGAGGAATAATGCTATTTTGTACAGATAATTTATCAAAGCAATAAAGTACTCTTATAGATAACATATCAATCAGCAATAAGCGGTTTTCTTAACGAATAGTATTGATGCTAATAAATATTAGGTAGACCATTATTGACACTAATTGGGGGCCTCTGCTCTAATTGGACGAGACTCGCGTCTTGAGACCAATTGGAGGAGCACCTTGTTGAGACAGCCTGTTAATCCTCGAGGAAGCATTATCCAAACAACGAATGACTCTAGTCAAGGTTATACTTGACGGAGAATAACAAGGAGCCCACGAGGAACACCTGAGAACTACGCAACACTTCAAACACACGGCAATACTTGACGGAGAATAACAAGGAGCCCACGAGGAACACCTGAGAACTATGCAACACTTCAAAGACACGGGAATAACACAGCAATTCAAGACCAGGACGAGTCCAACATTTTCATCCTACCTCAACCCGCCAAACACACACCGAAACTACGACGTTGGTACAACGTTCGAACACGTTTTAACACTCCTAACCAGTTATAACAACCTATATAGCACGTTGTAACAACGTTCTAATACGTCATAAACACGTTAAGCCAAGATGTAACAAATTTATTACAAGTTTTAATAAGCGGAAAATAGAGACAGTTTCGGTTTGTGTTTCCAGGGAAGGCACCAAAGATGCTATTATGGGTGAGAAGGGAAAGGAACTATCAGGGATAAAGTGCCAAGCCATGACGACTATGTAGCACTGGGAAGGGATCAGGATAAGGATTTGCAATGGGACAGGGGAAAGGAATGGTACCCAACCACTTGGACATTATGGGTGAGAGTCATCCCAGAGATGAGACACACGGAGAGAGACGTACCAGCATCTGTGGCGTGATGAGGGCGTCGGGGTCAGAGGTCAGGTCAGGTCGCACGGTCCTCACTGTAGCTCGGTACATCCGGTGTCCGGTCTTGCGCACCAGTAGTAGTGACCGTCCTGTCACGCCCACACCGGCCTCGTCTGTGGGCGGGGTGGAGGGTCAGGGTGTGGGTGTTGGAGGGGCAGGTGTTGGAGGGGCAGGTGATGGAGGGGCAGGTGTTGGAGCTCACCACCTGTTTACCTCTTTACAAGTCTACCAGTTTACTAGCCTACCAGTTACTAGTCTACCAGTTTACTAGCCTACCAGTTACTAGTCTACCAGTTTACTAGCCTACCAGTTACTAGTCTACCAGTTTACTAGCCTACCAGTTACTAGTCTACCAGTTTACTAGCCTACCAGTTACTAGTCTACTAGTTTACTAGCCTACCAGTTACTAGTCTACCAGTTTACTAGCCTACCAGTTACTAGTCTACCAGTTTACTAGCCTACCAGTTACTAGTCTACTAGTTTACTAGCCTACCAGTTACTAGTCTACTAGTTTACTAGCCTACCAGTTACTAGTCTACCAGTTTACTAGCCTACCAGTTACTAGTCTACTAGTTTACTAGCCTACCAGTTACTAGTCTACCAGTTTACTACCCTACCAGTTACTAGTCTACTAGTTTACTAGCCTACCAGTTACTAGTCTACTAGTTTACTACCCTACCAGTTACTAGTCTACTAGTTTACTAGCCTACCAGTTACTAGTCTACTAGTTTACAATTCTATCCACCTACCTCTCTAATTCTTTAATTATATACTTATATCACACACATGTTATACATATATATTTCTTGTCTTATTATCTGACCTTCCATCAACTGACCAATCAGATCATCTGTTGCTCCAGCTGGGCATATCCACCTGTCAGACACTATCCAATCATTAATCAGATTATGATCCCCCCCCTTCCCCCCTCCCCCAACCACTTGGGCTGGACGGTAGAGCGACGGTCTCGCTTCATGCAGGTCGGCGTTCAATCCCCCGACCGTCCATCAAGTGGTTGGGCACCATTCCTTTCCTCCCCGTCCCATCCCAAATCCTTATCCTGATCCCTTCCCAGTGCTATATAGTCGTGATGGCTTGGCGCTTTACCCGTGATAGTTCCCTGATAGTTCCCTTCCCCTCCCCCCCATCCCAGGAGCCATCTGTGGCAGGTGGGTCGTGTACCTGGGTACAGGTGGTCGTGTACCTGGGTACAGGTGGTCGAGTACCTGGGTACAGGTGGGTCGAGTACCTGGGTACAGGTGGTCGCCGCCCTGGGCAGGAGGAAGGTAGGTGTCCAGGAGGCCGTGGGTGGTGTCCAACGCCCTCTCCACCGCTTCCGTAGCCGCCCGCACGCCCACACTCTCCGTCACCGCCTCCACCTGAATCAAACCATGCGCAGAGAAAGGGTTAAAACCTGCGCAAACAACAGTCAATCACGTCCTTAAACTACGCATAGAGAGCGCTTCACGCCCTCAAACGAGTTATTATATATCATGATTAGAGAGAGGAATTACCTGCTACGGGGGGTACAAGAGGGGACTCAAGTGGGTGAGCATCCACCTACATCACCCACCTACAACATGCACCCGTACATGACCCACCACTCTGTTGGCTCTGGCAATGATGGCTTCAGCGAGGGTGTCCGGTACGATAACTTGGTCCCCAGCCACGGCACCAAGCACCCGCTGCCGGGTCGTGTTGACGATCTACAATAACAATACAACGATATAATAGACTAATAACAACAATTACTGCTAAACAATAGACTAATAACAACAATTAACATTATACTGATATATATTATATATCATTTACTTGTATAATGACTGACTCGAACGAGCGATCAGTATTTTTTTCACCAGCGCACCACTGCATTTCCCTTCAATCTCACTCCCTCGATTGATGAAGATTAAGCCACCGAAGAGGTGGCACGGGCATGAATAGCCCGTAAGTGGTACAACTTAAGATCTATATATATATTACCTACCTCCTTGGTCGGCTTCTTAATGATAGGGGCGGCCTCCTCCACCCTGTCTAGGCCTCGGCACGCCCACTCGTCCACCCGCTGCCACCCGCCCACCCTCTCCAGGAGTGGCGCCGCCAGGGGCAGGGCGCCCGTCGCCGCCACCGCCATGCTGGCCTCCGCCGCCCGTAACGCCGCCCCCATCACCTCGTTCCTCTGTGGGCGTGGGGCACATACACTCCTAAGTCACCCTAGAGAGCATTCTGTGGGATGCTCCCGGACGCAGGTTCGAATCCTCGTCACGGCCCGTGTGGATTTGTTCATTCTGTTAGTCACCCTGGGGAGCTAAGTCACCCTTACACAATGGGGGAGCATCCCTTTAGTCACCCTAGGGGGACGCGCCCCTTAACTTACTCTGGTAAGTTAAGGGGTTAAGTTAATACCCTTATTAGATTGACCTTATTAATGGGACATTGACTAGGGTGAGAGAGTTATCATAAAGAACAAATCCACAAGGGCCGTGACGAGGGTTCGAACCTGCGTCGAATCATTTTGGACCATTTTGTTCATTTGATGCATCACGTTATTGTGATGTCTGTGTGTAGTTATCCTAAAACTTGAGCAAACTTTTCTAAAACAACTTAATTTCTTAAGTTGATCTATTGCCCGAAATATGTCTATTTACAAATATCTATTTGCCGGAAACGCTATGCGTAATAGTGGCTTTAGGTATTGTATAAACTAGCTCTATGTATAAATCCAACATTATGTTTGTAACGCTTCATCTATGTATGTACTTTTACCTGAATAAAATTTTGAATTTAAATTTTGAATTTGAATTTTGAATTTGAATTTTGATTTTGGATTTGAATTTTGAATTTTGATTTTTGAATTTGAATTTTGAATTTTGAATTTGAATTTTGAATTTGAATTTTGAATTTTGAATTTTAAATTTGAATTTGAATTTTGAATTTTGAATTTTGAATTTTGAATTTTGAATTTTGAACTTTGAATTTTGAATTTGAATTTTGAATTTGAATTTGAATTTGAATTTGAAATTTGAATTTGAATTTTGAATTTTGAATTTTGAATTTTGAATTTGAATTTTGAATTTGAATTTTGAATTTGAATTTTGAATTTGAATTTTGAATTTGAATTTTGAATTTGAATTTGAAATTTGAATTTTGAATTTGAATTTTGAATTTGAATTTGAAATTTGAATTTTGAATTTGAATTTGAATTTTACGGTTGACTTTGCCAAGGGAACATTGCAAGGAGTGACTAACCTTGGTGGTGTCATAGACCTGTGTGGCAAGGACGAGAGCGTCGTTGAAGGCAGGGAGTGCCATCACCCTGGCCAGGAAGGCAGGGGTGCCATAGACGCCCACACTGGCAGACTTGGGTGCCATCTGTCACACACACACAACAATATTAGTAGAGCAGTGAGTGCTCGCTGGTGACTGCTGGAGCCAGCGACTGCAGCTAATACACTAAATAGCTTTTCTTTAACATAATTTCCATCTCTGTTCCCTTCTAACTTCGAATAATACTTATTTGTCAGTGACCCTAAAAATCTTGTATGTTGCGACCATGTCCCTTCTTGTAGTGGTGAGGTCCAGGACGCTCAGTCTTTCCTCGTAGCTCAGCAACGAAGTTTGTTGCAATATTTTGGGGAATTTCAGAGTTTTGTGTCGAGCTCTTTCAAGCGAATGTTTCATGCCGGAGCTGCATACTCAAGAGCGTGTCTCACGTGCCTTGTATGTACGACCATAAAGGCCACACAGACATTCGCCTGTATTACATATGTCGTTGACGTTATTTTGCTACTGTGTGCTGCCTATAGTTAATCTGGGACTTTGTCCACTTCCATTACGTGTTCCTGTCTTGATCACTTAATTATATAATGATGTACAGGTTTCGCTCCTATTTCTATCTCATAAATTTGCATTTGGTTATGTTAAATTCTTGCAGCCATTTTTTCAGACCATCTCCGGTGTCAGAATAACCTTCATGGTATTGTTGTCTCTTCTGATCTAATTCTTCTCCTTTAGTCGCTTCACCTGTCAGGTCGCTAACCCATGAACAAATCCACAAGGACGAAAAAACCCTCGTCAAATCCGTGACGAGGGTTCGAACCTACGTCCGAAAGGATCCCAGACGCGCCTTAATCAAAATCTAGATAGAACTCTGACTCTCTCCTTTACAGTAATATTTAACCGCCGTGACTAATGTCCTTATATATATATATATATATATATATATATATATATATATATATATATATATATATATATATATATATATATATATATATATATATATACATAAAACAATTTTTCATTTTATACGTATAAAATGAAAAATGAAAGCTGTTTAAATCATAGCATAGTAAGAACTCTGTTTAGTGTTTGCAGGTAATAGTTGTGTGTGTGTAAACTAAAAGTCTTTGAAAATGTAATAAGTTATTACGAAACGTGTTCAAGTGTAGCGTCAGACTAGAAATAAAAATGAATTTTGGAGAATTGATTTTTCAATTACCATCAACAGTGAAAAGAAATATAAGAAACATTGAGAAAATTCGTGTTAGAATTATTAATCTTACTTTTTCGGTCATATTTAATAATATATGTCTACAGGAAAGACTGCTACCAAAATATACTATGTATATATATATATATATATATATATATATATATATATATATATATATATATATATATATATATATATATATATATATATATATATATATATATATATATATATATATATATATATATATATGCGGAAAATCCACAGAGAAATATGAAAGGAAGTGAACGTTTCGGCCTGTTAAAGCCTTTGTCAACACCAGACAGGAAACTAATTTTACTAATAATATTAATATCTAGCAGGTGGATGCCAGAAGTTTCCTAGAAGCACACAGGCCGGCGATTGCCTCAACGAACACGTGACGCGGTCATTTACTGAATGTTGTAACTACCTCATCAAGCAAGCGCATAAAATGATCAGTGTTTGTGATCGTCAATTGCATATATTCAATTGTATATATATATATATATATATATATATATATATATATATATATATATATATATATATATATATATATATATATATATATATATATATATATATATATATGCAATTGACGATCACAAAACACTGATCATTTTATGCGGAAAATCCACAGAGAAATATGAAATGAGGTGAACGTTTCGGCTTTGTTAAAGCCTTTGTCAACACCAGACTGACTAGGTAACAGTCAGTCTGGTGTTGACAAAGGCTTTAACAAAGCCGAAACGTTCACCTCATTTCATATTTCTCTGTGGATTTTCCGCATATATATATATATATATATATATATATATATATATATATATATATATATATATATATATATATATATATATATATACGGGAAAAGGAATAGTCACACCATGAATTCTGTCCACATATTATACGTCTCAATTACTTAATCAATCTCTGTACAGCATCACAGACAGTAAGAAAACTGTTCCTTGTGACTGAGCCCAACAAAATTATACATAAATTACTGCCTTCATCTCTTCCTTCACGAACGAGCTAAAGTCACGCTCGTAGGGCAGCGTGACGAGTGAGAGGGAGTTGTTGTTCTTGTTGTTTTAGATTTAGCTGCTCAGAACGAAGTGTCCATGTAGCACGGGCTATGGTGAGCCCCGCATGAGAGGGAGGAAGGTCCGCCATTAAGGAGAGGATAGCGTGGCTCTCGTGAGGTGCTCCTGGCAGCTGCTCTCTGTGTCTGTGTCGACTAGATTATCTCCACTAAATTAATTGAGTATTATTAATTTATAATTTACGGGTTACGACATGGTAACAGTCAGCAGAAGATGAACTAACCATACAGTCCACTCATTTAAATCATTTTCAATTAATAAGTTGTCTGCTGGGAAATTCCCCACATCCAGTACCTACACTTAGGTTACTCACCTGATATCTCTCTCTCCACTCTGATATCTCCGCTCTCACTGTAACTCTTTGTTTCCTGCCGGAGAGGTACTCTCTACCTACCTTAGAACTCTTTCCTGTACGCCAGCCTACTGCTCTAGCATGAGTTGGAGTCTGTTGTGGAACAGTATCAAATGCGTTCTGACAGTCGGAGAATATGCAGTCTGACCGCCACACACTCTCTTTCTCTCTCTCTCTCTCTCTCTCTCTCTCTCTCTCTCTCTCTCTCTCTCTCTCTCTCTCTCTCTCTCTCTCTCTCTCTCTCTCTCTCTCTCTCTCTCTCTCTCTCTCTCTCTCTCTCTCTCTCTCTCTCTCCCTTGTTTGATTAGTGTTATTGTAGAACTCCAATATGTTTTTCAAGCAAGATTTTCTTGCTGGTTATCTTGAGGTTATCTTGAGATGATTTCGGGGCTTAGTGTCCCCGCGGCCCGGTCCTCGACCAGGCCTCCACCCCCAGGAAGCAGCCCGTGACAGCTGACTAACTCCCAGGTACCTATTTACTGCTAGGTAACAGGGGCATCAGGGTGAAAGAAACTCTGCCCATTGTTTCTTGCCGGCGCCCGGGATCGAACCGGGGACCACAGGATCACGCGTCCAGTGTTCTGTCCGCTCAGCCACCGGCTCCCTATCAGTGTGGCAGCAGAGCACAAAATGTAACTGTTGTAAATGTTGTAGCAGTGTGCTTCAGGTCAGCCCGCTAGTACCTTGCGGGTCAAACTACTACGGGATCACCTTATCCTGTGCTACTTGGAACTTTATGTTCCAGGTAGCGAATCTTATACAACTACCTTGCGGGTGATGCTTGTTAGTGGTGTCGTGAGGCAGTTCTTGTCTTCCGTCTTCCTCGTAGATTAACACAACATAAGACCTTTCTAACAATGTGGCAGGTCTCTCTTTTCCGGAGACAAGTTTAATACTTTGACAAAAGGACAACACCGCACGGAAAGAAGGTGTGGAAGCCACCTCCTTCCGTAACTTTAAGGTCAGATTCGATGAGGAATTCGAACCCCAGTAAATTTAAATTATTACGCCACAGGTAGATGATTGATGAAGATTAAACCAGCCAAAAGGTGGCACGGGCATGAATAGCCCGTAAGTGGTGGCCCTTTTGAGCCATTACCAGTATCAATAGCTGATACTGGAGATCTGTGGAGGTGCGACTGCACCCTGCGTGACGGGAGATGTCTCCCGTTTGCAACAGGTAAAATATAGGCGGGATATATAGGGCTAGATCTCACATCCCTTCCCTCCCCCCCCCCACTCCCCAGTAGTCCACCACCTATCATTTTCTACCAAAACCATCGTCACCACTACCCCCACCACCACTACATTCACCATCACCACCACAACCACCACCATCACCACCACAACCACCACCACCACCACCACAACCACCACCATCACCACTCTATTAATTAATCACATTAGCCCTTACTCCGCCCGTCACTTCACCAATCACTAACTAATCACACCGACAGACGCGCCACACGTGCATCCAAAGTTAATTCACGGATTAAATTAGTTTTCTTATATTCAAGAACCCCAAGAAAATGCTGCCTGAGCCTGGCGGGAGAGGTCGCCATGGTTACTGGGGTGCTTCTTCACGGGATTAACATAATCTCTTGATTACATAAGAAGCCAAGAGCTGAGCTCCGTACGCTTGCGATTGGCTGATATGACCAGTCATGAATTTGTTTACATACTTTTTTTGTAGAAGTTTATTTCTTAATACATATATTAATTTAGTCACTTAACTAAGAAGTACAGTAATAGGTGAACCCAACTTTTCAATATATATGCACACACATTTTTAAATTGTTGCCGCCGGAGGCGGCTAGTTTAATGTGCACCCCATACCCATCCTCAGCGTTAACGCAAAAAGCATTACAGAGGGCACAAAAGGTCTTTATCAGACCTCATCTTAGATTATTTCATAAACAGTTTCATCTATCCTTCACACCTTATAACTACAATGTCAGTAGTTACAGAGAATGTTCTATTTCACGAGCTATATATTTACAGGAAGTCATTATACATTAATGGTAGGTCTTATCGCTAATACATAATTGTTTGAGCAATGGAGATATTACAGTCATTGGAGAGCTGCTGTTTATTATTAGACTTCACAATACGCTACTTGTTTCTTAATCTCATTTATCGTTTATCTACTGGAAGCGAAATATGTATCCATACACAGTTTACTTTAGTCCTGAACTATGAACAAGTCTAACGTTTACTTGCTGGCTGGTCAGTAAACTGTGGTGGGATTAATAACCCTCTAGAGGTCGATAGACCTTAAGCACAACACCAAACCGGCTCTGCTTAGTCTGTCTTCCTCTAGTAAAAAGTTTGGTGTAGTCTGAGACGGAGCCCTGATGCTTTCCTTCTACCACAGGGATAGAACCCGCGACGCAGCCCACTGTGACACGAAGCAGGGCTTTCATTATATTATATTTAATTATTCGCTTCTCTTCGTGTAAGCCAGAAGTCTTGTCGGTACCCACATGACAGCAGCAATTTAGTACGCGCGTTGTGTGACGTATAAATTCCCTAAGGCCAAAAACTGTTGTGTTTAAAGTTACAGCGGCTTGTAAAATTGTCGTGATGACCCTTTTCCGATTTGTGGGTCTTTGGTTAGGTTATGTTCAGGCAATTTAGTACATAATTTTAGTGACGTTGTGAGCGAGGTGTGGACAGCGTCTGGATGGGATACGAATCACATTGTACACAAGAAGGTTTACTAACGAATTTTTAAAACGTATCTAATCTTACCCATCCTAACCTAGCCCAACCATGCCTAGTCTAATACTTCTTACCCCTAACGATATATAAACGGGTTAAACCAACAGAAAACGAGCTTCGTCGAGCCACACTCATTGGAAACCTCTCCTAAGCTTTATGTGTACTTCCCGTGAAGCCTCGGGTAATGATACATCGACAAAAGTAGAGTATTATCATATAGGTAAACAAACCTTAAAAGCAAAAATGATCACACACCTTTATAATGCTGAGACAGATCGACGACACTCTCCTCCTCGATGCTGACGGAGCACTGACTCCTTAGCTGGTGTCCAGGTGTTTATATACCGCTAATAACCGCTTATTTTTATATCCTAGCTGATGGCATGATAAGTCATACTGGTCATATAAGCTCCTGGATCGTCAGGAGAGACACAGCTGGTGTTGAGGCGAGTCAGCTGAGTCACCCGTCACTAGCTGAGTCACCCCTGCCAGCTAAGTCACCCGTCATTGGCTTTTGACTTAACTATGTCTTCAGATTTGTAATATTCATCGTCTGATCACGAGGTCTCCAGTTCATCTTATTACTAACCTGTCCTGTGACACTCTGGCCTGCTGTGGAGTGCATCCTAGTGAAGGTTAGATGTTGGTCTAGAGTGACCTTAAAAAAAATATGAGGCTTCCTAACCCCAACAATGACACACCAAACCATAGACAACACTTTTGTGTACAAAACAGTGGCTACAAGGCTCCTTTTTTTGACCAGTATTGTAACTATTGTATTTAATATTTTTAATGAGGAAAAAGAAAACTTCATTACAGAGTAATATATAGGTATATTAAATTAACATACTGTGCTTTAATTTAAATATTGAATTCGTATTTTTTAATATAAATAAATCATATTGAGGTGCTGTATTATATACTGTGAAGACAAAATGTTTCTCCATATACTGTACAGTATCCACACCTGCTCCCGTACACCCATATCACCACCTGCACAATTCAGGGATACAGGTAGTTTAATAACGAAACAGATCAAATTAGCATTAATTACAACGATCTGGAATGCTTAAATAAACATATAATAAATCCGGGTCCTATCAGATACCAGATATTCTTCAGCCAATCAGATACTCTTGTTAGTTCAGTTCATTTATTATGCACCCCATACCCATCCTGTGGGCGGTAGTGGAAAGGGTTACAGAGGCACATAATGGGCGCAGGAACTGAACCCCACAATTCATTTAGCTAAGCAAGTTACAATCTTGATGAGGTAGTTACAAAATTCAGTATAAGTCGTCACATCAACAATGGGTTCGAGATCGACCACAAGTACAGTTTCTAAAGTAAGCAACTGACATATGTGGAGAGCTAGTGTCACAATTAATATGTTTGTCCTACACACCGCCCCCCATCCAGTATTGTGCCAGCAACAGCTAATTAGACACTCCTTGCAACAATCAGAAACCAATCAGACACTCTTCAGGCCAATCAGGAACCAATCGGACACTCTTCAGGTCAATCAGGAACCAATCAGACACTCCTTGGGGTAATCAATAACTTCTCGACGATGAAAACAACGGTAGAGAGGACGTGGCCAGCGAGAGCCACCAGGAAGGCCCCCTGGAGGTGGTCCAGGGTGATAGGGGTCACCGCCCCCTCGTCTCTGCCCGCCGGCCCCCCCTCCACTTCTCTGTACTTCTGCACGAAGAAAAACAGATAATAGTGATATCATTATATTATCATATTTTGTATTATGAACATTTTTAAGGCCATAATTATTATCAGAATTATTATTATTATCGAAACACTAGGCTTCGAGCACCAGGCTTCACAGGCTTCCAGTATCCTCACCTTAGAGGCTGCGGCGAGCCTCATGGAGTCCAGGAAGAACCGTCTGACGAGTCCAGCCTGCTGGACCCAGCCTATGACCACATCCAGCTTGGGCTTGAGCGGCGAGTGCGCCTGGAGGCCCATGGCGATATTGTAGGGAGCGAAGCAGTTCTGCAGCACCAGGAAATACCTCTTTCCAGGACCCATAGACCTAAATTTAAAATGTTTTCCATCCGTTTCTCTATTGGAGGATGTATTTTGATTTTAATATTTACAATAATTGTAAATGTTGATGTTGAAGATTAAGAAGAAGAACTGTTTAAGAACATCCACGTGAAATAGCATTTTAAAGAAGTTTAAGGGGAAACAAAAAAATGTTTTAACAAATATAATGACTAAGTAGAAACATCAATTAATATATAAATGACATTCTGTTTAGGGGAATTTAAGAAAGACTAATTAATAAAATTTATGAAAAAATTACATTTCAAGAAAATAAAAATTCTAAAATTAATGCAGTGGCAACATTCTCCCCCCCCCCCCCAAGTCTTTTCCGTCCTCTTTCCCTATATATTTTCACCTCACCCCCATTTGCTGTTGTCTCCCCCACTCATTTACTACCCTCCCCATCCAACTTACTGCCCTCCTCCCCACTTTCTGCCCTCCTTGCCACTTTCTGCCCTCCTTGCCACTTTCTGCCCTCCTTGCCACTTTCTGCCCCTCCTCCCCACTTTCTGCCCTCCTCCCCACTTTCTGCCCTCCTTGCCACTTACTGCCCTCCTTGCCACTTTCTGCCCTCCTTGCCACTTTCTGCCCTCCTTGCCACTTTCTGCCCTCCTTACCACTTACTGCCCCCTTCTCCACGCTTCCATCCGCATTTACTGCCTTCTCTCTACTTCCTGCCCTCCCAACCACTTACTGCTTTGCCCTCCCCCCATTTTCTGTCCTCACTCGCCCACTTAATAACCCCAACCCACTTTCTTCACCCCCCCCGGCCCCCCCCCACGCAATCACCCAGCGCAGAAACCTTCAAGATTCGAACGCGGGACGCCCCTCTGGTGGCGAAGCGAGTGGTAGCCGAAAACTCCAAGAAGCCATGGTTCTCCAGTAGGACGCCCTCACCGCCCAGCACCTTGGGAAAGATCTGCTCCGGAGCGCTGTGGCTCTCATACGTCTTGGAGAGTTCCTGGAAGGGTGTATATACAACGTCTAACGTTATATATAATGTCTAGCGTTATATATATATAGATTTATAATCAGTCTTACTTTATAAACAGCTTCAATGTGACTATAATTGGTTGAACATCGACCTTCAAGTACGGGTCACTGGCAGCTGCCAGCTCATACTGGAAGAGGTCCCCCAGACCAAAGACTCGAAGTCCCGAGGCTTGCAGGTCCTTGAAGGTGTCGATGGTGAAGGGCTTCCTGCTGACGAGGAGGTAGGCCGTGAGGTTGGTGGAGTAGACGATGGTGAGAATCATCCCGTAGAGCCACAGGGAGAAGGTCACTATCCTGGAGGAGGTGGGTCTCGGGTCTCGTGCCGCAGACTTGCCCAAGAGTGTCGCCAAGGAGAAGGTGAAACACGAGGCCAGGGTTCGAAGGTTTGGGATCTCGTCTCCGCTGTTGTTGGGGGGGGGGGTGGATTGAACCCTCGTGAAAGGGGGTTCGAACCAGAATCAGGATAAGAAACTGTGCAAATCTTATTATAATGGCTGGAGTACATAGGTGTACATCAAACACTTTTGGCATAAAGTGAAGCAATATTTAGCTTACAATTTGAATGGTGATAAATATTGGTAAGACAAAGTGTAGTTTACCAAGAGTGCGGTAAGATAGATTGGCATACTTTGCATAACACAATAATTAGGATGATAAGAGGACAATTTCAAGAGTTAATATAACCTAGTTATACCATGACGATAAATTTATTCACAGCGTTTTAACCGCAACAGATTCTAGGTCTATTCCTGATCTCAGTCACTCCGAACACATTTCGTACAACATAGATCTGACCTGAACAGGACTCAAAATACCTGTCATTTAAGCCATCTCTTTGTGACAGGAGTTCCTTCATAGTTCCAAACATCCAGCTGGGAGCTGGATGTTTGGAACTATGCTGGATGACAGCCTACAGAACAAGGCTGTCTGCTGCCCAGTTGTGTTACTCAGTCCTGCATGCATACCTCAGGATTCACCTGAACACTCGTGAAGGAGGATTGAACATTTGTTAAAGAGGATTGAGTGCTTGTGAAAGGATACTGAACGTTTATGAAGGGAACTCCAATGATTCTATTGGTTGAGATCAGAGTTTAGTAAAGTATTGAGGACGGGCGCGGGGATAGGGGTAGTTGCATACTTGTCTCTCATGGGTTTTCTGAATAAATTAGTCACAGGATTACACTGCAACCAAGAGCAGAGTCTACCACAAACCACGTACAGAGTCTACCACTAACCACGTACAGAGTTTACCACCAACGAATACGTAGCTCACCTCCAACAGCCCCACTTTACATTTCTCGTCAACCACTCATCAACCACAAGGTAGAAAAGTAGATGAACGTACCATGCAGCGGAGCCGCGAGCCAGAAGGTAGAGGACAGGTCCTGACAGGAGTAGACAGAAGAGGACAGCGAGCCAGGTAGACGGGTTGAAGGGGAAGGCCAGAGCTTGCCACAGAGGAAGTGGAGGTTCGGATCTTATCAAGAAGCAGTTGGACTAGAAATGAAAACAGAGAATGCAAGAAGGGAAAATAATACAGACGATAATACAGTATCATTTGACAGTATATCTATACAAGAGAATGTGTAAATACTCGTATGTGAGGCATAGACGTAGAGACAGTGCATGTAGACTGGGGGTGCTCGGTACCTCCGTGTCGTACGGAGCGGAAAACTCGGTACCGACGCGCTGGTTTAGCGTGAGGTAGAGGTTAGCGACGCCAATGTCCACCTCGTCTCTCGACAGCTTGCCTCTGAGGCCGGTCAGGGTGCCGTTGGTGGAGACCAGACCCCACATCTCCCCTGCAACGTGTTCAGTATGACTCGGGGCCACAGGACAGAATACTGCGTCGCAGGAAACTGTGCGCACCTGCCCGACACAGGTAGGTAATTGTACCCACATACATAAGCATATAAATGTGCCATTGCGGAGTTAGATCTAGGTATAGGTCCCCGTCTCCTAGTTATTTGGTACATATTACATTTATTTCACTTCGTGATTTAATGTTCAAGTTTGATCTTGAGGCTGTTTATGGAGGTGGCTTCCACCACCTCCGCTTCCAGTTCGTGGCGCTTGATCATCACCCCTCACTAGATATTAGTTATATTTCTCGAACTCGATAATGCTCCACCTGTGCCACCTTGTTCAATTTCTGCTATATGTAATAACTTCCCCTGGCCACCTTTTGATATCTTGTATATTATGATCATATCCCTTATGGTCATTCTCATATTATTATTAGGATGAGTTCCCTTAACTTGAATTTATAAGCTGTGTACAGGCTCCGGGTGATTCCCTGTGTAGTTTTAAAGGATGTTTTGGTTATTTACCAGTTGTGGGCATGTTGTTGATGTCTCTGTTTGTGTGCCCCGGGGTTAGGTATGTGTGTGGGGGTGGGAGGGGGGGGGGGTTACCGTTGGGAGGCTCCTGGTACTGTATAGTGAAGTTCATGACCTGACCCAAGGCCTCGGTGATAAGGATATCTGTCCCGTAGCGGAAGAGGACAGCGCCGTCCTCGGCCCGCTGGTAGAACACACTCGGCTCCCACACGAACGTTACCACCTGGCAGGAGGACAGAGACAGGTGGTGGTATAAATGAACTAGTAACAGCACACATATACATATGTAGGGGCTCACCATAGCCCGTGCTACATGGACACTTCATTCTGAGTAGCTAAATCTAAAACAACAACAAAACACACATACACACACATACGAGACGCAGTTACAGCCCCGCTCCTGTACCAGGTAAGTCCACTACGGGCTCACCATAGCCCGTGCTACTTGCCCCGCTCCTGTGCCAGGTAAGTCCACTACGGGCTCACCATAGCCCGTGCTACTTGCCCCGCTCCTGTACCAGGTAAGTCCACTACGGGCTTACCATAGCCCGTGCTACTTTCAACTTTTTGCTCCCAGTAGCTGAATCTATAACAACAACAACAGCACACATACAAATATTTGCAAATGTATTTCCCCTAAAATGCAGGTCTTACGAAATATGGTAAAGGTTCTTAGGCCTGACCTTGAGGAGGGCGCCACGCAAGTCGGAGACCTTGTCGGGGAAGAGGTCCACCTGTGTCGTGAAGCTGTGTCTGCGCCAGGTGGTGATGTGCCGCAGACCTGCTCCCCAGTACAGCTGGTTCATGAACACCTGCCACTCCCCCTCCACACCTGACTGTGAGAGGAGGGGGGGGGGGTGTTATATGTGGTACAGTATAGTCGAGGATCTCCTGTGTGTAATAGACAGGTTATATTACCTGTCTATTACTCACACACACACACACACATTCATATATATATATATATATATATATATATATATATATATATATATATATATATATATATATATATATATATATATATATATATATATATATATCTAACCTACGCTTGAAACAATCCAGCAATCCCACGTCAATTATGTGACCTCGGTAATTAGTGCCATAAATTAACCACCGTGTTTCCAACCCAATATTTACCCAGGTGAAGAAGCGGTGCTTGGAAATTCTTCCTATAATGCAAGCACTATTAGGTGAGATCTATTATGTTAAACAGCCACACTCCGTAACAGTCGTACAAGTACCAGTCTCAGCCAGTTACCTTAACTGCCCCAGCCAAGTGCGGTGTCTTCTTGCCCTTCTTAGACCTACTGACAGCCTCCAGGTCGCCCACCTGGAGACCAACCACAAAATACCTGTGATGCAAAATGGATGAGAGAGTTCAAGCAGATTATAGAACATATATCTAAATGTGTCTGTCTGTCTGTATGTCAGCCCGTCCTCCAAAAATGGGGTGGTAAATGTAGGAAGACAAATAAGTGCAATTATGCACTATTCATAGCAGTTAGGAATTGTACTTATTTTCACTTAGTATTAAATCGTACTGGCAAATATATTGTGAATATTTGAGTTTACCTGAAAAACTGAATAGAAAACCACAACCTCACCTAACCGTCTTAGTTTTTGAAGATAATAATTTTATTGCTTCTTAATTACAATTAGTACTTAACCTATAGCTATATTGATATTACAGTTTTATAAAACTAATAAAACAAAACTGAAATATATCAATAAATTGTAAAGTAACTTAGGATATTTTAAAATTTTGTATAAAATCTATATTGTTTAATAAACCTGAAAAAGAAATTTCTGATATTTAAAACTTGTGTTTATCAATATTATATTGACAACTTCATCCTAAAATTCTAAGTCTTAACTGAAATCGAGGGAGGGGGTTGGGTAAATGTAACAGCCCCGTAAGTGCAATTATGCACTGTTTACGACAGTAAGAAAGTGTACTTATTACACTGAGCATTAAATCGTACTGTCAGTTCGGAGGATGGGTTGCAGCATATATATATTTTTTTAGATAATGCGAACAAGCCTGAACGGTCTCCAGGCATATATGCAACTGAAAACTCACACCCCCAGATTTTTTAGATAATATATAGAGGGTACTACTACCTCTAGCTGTGTTTATAGGGATCCTCAGCCTTGAAGAAGAAGATATGCAGCATCCGGGGGGGGGCCTTGTTAGGCTTCCACCGGGTGCTCCCGTATAGTTTTCTCCTACCACCTCCTTATACATACATACATATGCGCGTGTGTGCGTGTGTGTGAGCTTGAAGGCGTGGCAGAGCACCCACCTTCCCTGGTAGTTCCAGCAATCGTCGTCAGTGTTGAGGAAGGAGATGAGAGTCTCCGGCCGGTGGAGGAGGAAGACGTAGGCGCCCCGCCCATCACACGACGAGGTCCACGCCGCCCCCGCCAGGTCCTCCACCCTGAGGGCCGCCACCACCTGGTGTGGGGCACGGGACACAGTCACACACCTGCACCTTCCCCGCCTTCTACGTGTCCCCCCACCATGGGAAGAGCAACCCCCAACACAGGCAGTAGAGTCATGGACAATCAACAACAAAGGCTCTACAATTATATACAAGCGGTAACAGAGGTTATAGAATGATATACAAGCAGTAACAGAGGTTGTAGAATAATATACTAACATTAACAGAGGTTGTAGAATGATATACAAGCAGTAACAGAGGTTGTAGAATAATATACTAACATTAACAGAGGTTGTAGAATGATATACAAGCAGTAACAGAGGTTGTAGAATGATATACAAGCAGTGACAGAGGTTATAGAATGATATACTAACATTAACAGAGGTTGTAGAATGATATACAAGCGGTAACAAAGGTTACAGAATGATATACTAACATTAACAGAGGTTGTAGAATGATATACAAGCAGTAACAGAGGTTGTAGAATAATATACTAACATTAACAGAGGTTGTAGAATGATATACAAGCAGTAACAGAGGTTGTAGAATAATATACAAGCAGTGACAGAGGTTATAGAATGATATACTAACATTAACAGAGGTTGTAGAATGATATACAAGCAGTAACAGAGGTTATAGAATGATATACTAACATTAACAGAGGTTCTATAATACTAGTAATATGCGAGCAGTAACAGTGGTTGTAAATGACTTACAAGCAGCAACAGAAGCAGTGCTACAAGAGACCAACAGCAACAGGCAGCAGCACCACAATGTACCGGCTACAACAGACTCAGTACTGGTCAGTCATGTAGCGTCAGTACCTCTAGTCGCCCCAGACCTCCTCACGACCACTCTTTTATATAATATTGTAAATTCACTCAGAAAACCCTCTATATATACACAGTCCCCCCCCCCCACCCCATGCTGTGTATAACCCCATGGCTGTGTATAACCCCATGGCTATGTATAACCCCGTGCCTCCTATAATAACATCCCTACATCTAATCTCATCGCAGCCCTAAGGCAGTTAAATTAATCCAGAATCCAACCCAAGTCCCAAGTCCCGGGATACTTCCTAATTACCCCTAAGCAATAATAATTATCTTTAATTAGTGTTGTCCCATGTAAACCGGCGCTGCGTCCCTTAATAATGCGTATAACCCCATACACCCGCGGTACGGGAGTATACCAACAGTCGGTACACTAATATATACCAGCAACTACACACGCAGTTCGACAGTACAAAGGTGACAGCGGCAGCATTGCAAAGCACTAGCAACAAATACAGTATGGCAAGGTTCCAGTAGGATAGGCAGTGCGCTCGCAAGCGACTACTCACTTGTCGCAAGTTTGGCAGGTAAATGAGCAGATGATTTAGGAGTAATTGGTGAGTGTGGCTTCCGTCGTGAACCAGCATCAGATGGCATCCATTCATCTCCCTCTCTATCACAGCCTCCACCATCTCCCTTACCCACAATGCTTCCGTCTCCTCTCCCACACCCTCTGGTGCAATTCTAAGCCTCTGGAACCTCAGGGAATCTTCGTGAAGCTTCGGAGCTCTTCGAAATGCCCCAACTAAGGCCCCTGGAGCGCCTGGAAGCCTTTGGAATTTCGATCTTTTACGGTGTTCATCGCGAGAGCTTCCACTGTTTCCGTCTATTAATATTTCTGAAGCCTCTGAGGTAAGGGGAACATCCTGAGGGCCGAGTCTGTCTTCACTGTGTCTCTTGCAGTGAGGGGTCCTCTTCGCCGCTCCCCTCGTGGGACCTCCATAACCGCTAGCCGAAAAGTCGTCCTGCCAAGACTCATGGTGGCTATCATGGTAAGTCGCACCGGCAGGGGTTCTAAGACCTTCGTGAGAATCCCATGACGGTCGTAGAAGTCTCCGGACCTCATACGGTTTGATCCGGTCGGAGTAGGACCTTCCGTCGGAGTTATGGTTATGAAGAGTTCGGAGATATTCCTGCCGGAGGTTACTGCGTCGCTCGGGGGACATGACCCTGGGAGGGGGCGCTTCTGGAGGCCCGGAGGTCTCAAGAGGGATGATCGTGACGGAGGAACAAAGACCCGCCATCACCAGCAAGAGCGCCGGTGCGGTCATCTCTCGTCGCCTCCAACACCAGCCTCCAACACCAGCCTCCAACACCAGCCTCCAACACCAGCCTCCAGCACCAGCCTCCAACACCAGCCTCCAACACCAGCCTCCAACACCAGCCTCCAACACCAGCCTCCAACACCAGCCTCCAGGAACAACAGTGACGTGTTAGCTTTTACATTATTATTAATAATCGTAAATTATCATTATTATTAACCATAAGTTATCATCATTTATTATTGTAATCATGTTTAAACTGTTACTAAAAATCTGCTGAAAGTAATTCGGCTCCCGACACCTTGTTTGAACAGTAGCAGAGTAACTGAGCCGTGTACCAGGTGTACTACAACAGTTACTCACTCTTACAGGAGAGTGACGGAGGGACGTCCACTGGTGCCAACCCTTGCCTGCTCCGTCTCTGATGGTAATGTGAGGTCGCTGGCTCAAGGACCAGTGTCCAGCCTCCGTCTCCCTCCCCGGATGAGTCGATCAAACACCACTACTTAATGTCACTCTAAAAAGTTTATTATTCCCAGATGTTTTAAATCACGTTGTCTAGTGTTTGACTCTGGCAAGATAGATGTAGGTTGAATTTGCTTTTGTTAAAAGTTGGTTGATTTCTCTTCCTCACCCTCGACGATAACCTCACAATATCACACACAGTGATCACACAAATGAACAAATCCACAAGGGCCGTGGCGAGGATTCGAACCTGCGTCCGGGAGCATCCCGGACGCAGGATGCTCAGTCGATTAAGGCAGTGTCTGGGATGCTCCCGGACGCGGGTTCGAATCCTCGTCACGGCCCTTGTGGATTTGTTCCTCACAATTTCGTTTTGAACTGTGAGTGTAGGGGTTAAAGGGCTTAGTCTTGGAGCAGCGTTTAATTGGCACCACATTAAGGGAGGACAACCAGCAGGTCAAAGTCGGGACCAGAGGTTAAGGCCACACGATTCGGGTCTGATCCAATGGTCAAAGTTTGGATTAAATTTGGGATCGGTCTCAGCTTGGCCGAGCAGAGCTTGAGGATGGGTTACTGGGGACGGCCCCAGCTTGGACGAGCAGAGCTTGAGGATGGGTTACTGGGGACGGCCCCAGCTTGGACGAGCAGAGCTTGAGGATGGGTTACTGGGGACGCCTCCAGCTTGGACGCATCAGTCAAACATTACAAGCTCAGGCACGTGCTCCGTCCGCTAAGCTGATGCGTGTAAAGCCTATTAAAATCGCTGACGCTTGATTTTATAAGTAAATATCCTGTAGTTTGATCATATATCTCAACAAACTTTACATTCAATTTATGCTGAGTTTTATGCAAGTTATATTACTTGTTATTCTTATAATACATACGATTGGTATTCGTATATATTTATTATACTTGCGAAAAAATAGATATATTTATATAATAATATAAATATTTGATATGCATATATAGTATACATGTGTGTGTGTATATAGTATACATGTGTGCACACGCCTGTTGCTAGCAATGATATCCAATAATCAAACAACGATAACGGCATGGTTTGCGCTTCGCGGACAGTAATCGTAATGAGTGATAACTGAATTACAGTGTAGGAGGTGTTGGCGTTAAGAAACAGGAGCCAGATTCACTAAGCACTTACGCAAGCACTTACGAACGTGTACATCTTTCCTCAATCTTTTGACGGCTTTGGTTACATTTATTAAACAGTTTACAAGCATGAAACTTCACAATCAACTGTTGTTATTGCTATAAACAGCCTCCTGGCGCTTCGGAGCTCATTAACTGTTTAATAATTGTAAACACAGCCGCCAAAGATTGAGAAAAGATACACAGGTTCGTAAGTGCTTGCGTAACTGCTTCGTGAATCTGGCCCCCTGGTGAGTGAGAAAGTACACTTCCGCCCTGTGTAAGTGACCAGGAAGGACGCGGGAGGGTGTAGATGCCACCTCCACCCACGGTCTAATGACCAATTACGACACAACTAGAACAGAGAGAGATTAAAAGACACTTAGTAGCACCAATTGCTAGGAGACAAAGCGCGGGAGCAAGATATCGCTTGCCTGGTCGAGGACCGGGCCGCGGGGACACTAAAGCCATGAAATCATCTCAAGATCTCTCACAGAGAAGAGGCGTAAAGACAGACTCGCTGTCTGTCACTGTCACATTGTCAGTAATCACTGTTTCAATAGGCCCTGTCACTGTGTGTCTCTATTTCATTAAATTACTCAATCTATCACGTGACTATTGTATCTACCATTTAATTAGTCTATATACCTATCTCTATCACTCTACGAGGTTGTGTCTACCTCCCTGTCAATCTTTCGATTACGCAATCAATTCAACTCTCGTTCACTCTATTACTCTGGAGACGTATGTAAATGCATTTACATATTTACAAAGAACAGAAAACAATTCAGGAGACTTCAGCTGAGAGTTTAAAATTTAACAAGAAGATATTTAACAATGTATTCCTACCTTCAGGAGTTTATAAAGTGGTAAGAAAGTCCATGGCAGCATTAATGATGTTCCAGAGTTCCATGTTGTTGTTTAAGATTCGCTACCTGGAACAAAAATTTCCAAGCTATGGTGAGCCCGTAGAGGTCTATGACCTTTGGTGACCTAAATTATACGGACTTTTCCAGTAATAACTTCGGAATTAAACGAATTATGGAAACTTGCATAAATATATCTTAAAACGAAAGTGTAAATCACCTTTATGAGATGATTTCTATATTTAACATATTTATAAATAATAATTTTTCGTAAAATACTCATTATTTTACGCCGATGTTAATTACAATATTTTACAATCAAAATACGGAGCCACTCAAAATGCGCAGTATTTTACAGTAAAAAATACGGAGCCACTCTAAATGCGCAGTATTTTACAGCGGTTATTATAGCGATTACTTAGAAAGTACAGGAATATTACATTTGCCGGCAGGAAACTGATGAATATCAGAATGTGGACCTTCGATGTTTACACCGTGTTTTCTAATTGTGCCGCCTATGATCTCCCCGATCCCTCAATGTATCTAATTTACATTTCAAACCATATTTCACACTCCAGAATGATGTAACTATTGTTCATACTTGAAACCTGACATTCTGAGATATATTTCATGTGTATGTTATGACATATTTCTCTTGGCTCCTGTCCACGGAGTTGTGGAGCTCTCAGGCGGCCCCAGTAGTGAGTGTCTGTCATTACTGTATATTTATGGTAGTAAACACTACTTGAGTAAAGGATTTCTATTTTCGTAGCTTTGATTGCGAAACGCCGAGTGGGATTTTTGTTAATTAACTAAATGATTAATGGTATATAGTTACTAAACTACAATGTTAATTTATCAATTAATTCTAAGATTAATTAAGCAGTGCTAATATTTTCTGTCTAAAATAATAAGTCCATGAGTCACATGAATGTGAATTGACATAAACAGATGATGTTGAAAGAGTATAATGTAATAATATAATAACCGGGGGAGCTGGTCGGCCGAGCGGACACTAAAAAGCCCCGAAATCATCTCAAGATAACCTCAAGATAATAATACCATAAAAGACAGTTAACCAACTACTCCAAGTGCAACAATGAGGACGCCAAAATATAAGTGTGTGTAAATTGTAACTAGTTAACAATCCATGTAATTAACAGTAAAGCAAAGTACACTTAAGGAAGAGGTACAATAAATTCCATTGAGACCAACGTAAAAGGTAATGCAAATGTGCTTGCTCAACAAGACTGGTACCGCTAACAGAATAGAAATGATCAGTTAGGAAACTGTTTAATTCAATGAACTGGTATTAGTAAGAAACAACATAAATGAAAGCACAGACTGGTACAGTATACATAAAAGCACAGTGGTATACATAAAAGCACAGTTATACATAAAAATGCAGTGGTATACTTAAAAGCACAGTGGTATACATAAAAGCAGAGTGGTATACATAAAACCAAAGGATGCCAATGTTGAAATTGCAAATAAAATAAGGCAATCAACATAAATTACAAATCCAGATGAATGCAACTAAGGGCGTGTTACAAATTAAAAATTTTGGCCCCGAGGGGCGAGTTTATTAGGCAGCGCCACACATGAACTTGTTATGATGAACACAGCCTATAGCCCAAGTCCCAGGAATGACAATAAGGCGAGGCTGGAAATGTTATGGGGCGTGGCTGCTGTGTGTGTGTTAGGCTTTTGTCATACACCCTTTTCCTAGGGCCGAACCTTGAAGAGGCTTCCCTTATCTACCGCCGCCCACTGAATGAATACGGAGGCTTTATATAAATATACAATATCCGCTGAGAATATTCCACTGTATTATGTATAATGTATGTATTTATATAATGTTAGTTTTACATAAACGCATCTTTTCGTGATACTTGGAAAATATAACGTTTTGGGGTCGGCTCCTGGCGGTCCTTCTGGAGGCGGAAGGGGGCGGAGCCGGCAAGTATAGCCAATGTTTGTTTTAAACTCTTCATTATTTTCCTATCAATGGGTGAGGTCCCAGAGCGGATGTACTCTCACAGGTCAGTCAGTGACGGCCGGGCGATCGACGCACCAGCCACTCTCTCCACCACAGGTTGGTTATGTATACTCTCCTTGCTCTACAAGTTTACCTAATACAGCATCAATAATGATTTGTGGTGATCAGCGAAGACTCGCTGATGAGTCGTTGTGGTCATATGAGGAGAGGAAGTGTGGGAAGGTTTGGTTAACTAGGCTGTCGCAGGTGGCAAGACTTGCCAATCGGGTTTGTCTAGCCAAGGACCGCCTGGGGTGTGTAGTTTGCTATGTTTATATATTTTTATACATAAGAAGGTACATTGGGTTTATCAGCGTACATAGCATTGATGTTTTTACATTCTTGTAAAGCCACTAACACGCATAGCGTTTCGGGGCAGGTCCTTAATCAGATAATTTTAGGTTTAATGTTGTCGCCAGCGGTGACTGGTTTACTGTGCACGCCATACTCATCCTGTGAAAGGTAGTTTATTGGGTAGCCCATATTCATCCTGTGAACATTAGTTTGTAACCCCCATTCTCATCCTGTGAGTAGTAGTTTTTTATTTTGTATTTTTATGTTTACATGCAAGCATGCTTATAAGTACAATAAAAGCAAACAAATACAACATAGAACAAAAGTACAAAATGACAAAGTACAAACTTGCAAAAGTACAAAGGAACAAAATTACTAAACACAAACGCTGGCCGGAAGGGCCGACCACAAAACAACAATAATTACAAACAAAACACAACAATAAATTTAAACACAGCGGAATACACCAGAACATAATTAATTATACAGCACCTCAAACTACCGATGCCTGCTACTACTCATCCTGTGAACGGTAGTTTGCACCCCCCATACTCATCCTGTGAGCGTTAGTTTATTGGGTAGCCCATATTCATCCTGTGAACGGTAGTTTGCACCCCCATACTCATCCTGTGAGCGTTAGTTTATTGGGTAGCCCATATTCATCCTGTGAACGGTAGTTTACTGTGTACCCTAAACTCTTAAGCATAACAACATCATATAGGTCCAAAAGATCCTTAAGTTCATCCCAGGGAAAGTTTAACATTAGGTTTAACAATTTATCTATATACTATATATTTGTAGCACTGTATTATTGATATGTATGCCAATATAATATTACACATTGAGGGTAAGACATTATTGGTAATACATAACATTATTTAGATTTAGGCTACACACGCAGTATATTTCCATCACACTTTATCTACTAGAAGCGAAAGATGGATGCAGTACAAGATTTAAAGATTTTGTATCATTTCCTGTAGCGTAAGATTAGATTTATGTCTTAGTGGTTCAGTCTTCACACAGTATAAGATGTACAGTAGTGCCTTAGTGTGTGTTCGTGTCCGCCCAGCTTACTCTTCAAGCCATCCATTCATGGAACTGTAAGACACAAGAGTGGTACCGGGGGAGGTGTCACCCTAGGTACTGTAGGATACTGTATGTGGTGCCGTAGGATGTGGTATGTGGTACTGGCAGGATGGATGGTACTTGCAGGATGGAAGGAGCGGAGGAGAGGCCAGGAGAGGCAACAGAGGCAGTGTTCAGCATCCCACACATCGTGAAGGGCTTCACGGTGCCAGAGGGCGGACAGCTGGCGCTAGCAGGGTACTTGGAAAGCTGGACGGAGGTGAACAAGTAATAAATGACTTTTTCAAATGACGTCTGAAGGAGGAATAATGTGTTATCGATTAATTTTTTGTTGAGGCAGGATATAGACAGTCTCGATCATTCAAGCTCACATATTACAGTAACTAGTAAAATAGATCTATAATTTTGTGTTGATTAAAAAATTTCACAAGTTTACTCGAAATATATATCTGATTCTTGCTGTATTTTTGACATGTATTGGAGTCACTTGTCTAAATAATGTGTACAAATTTTCTAGAGTATATGTTTCACTAAAGTTTTCACTACACACTTCATATTAATATTTGTTGAATGATTAATTTTCATAGTCATAGATTATTACTAGGATATCTTTCATAAGGAAGCCTAATAATTATACTAAATTAATGTAATGGTGTACTGTATCTCTGTATTAAGTGACATACATAAGAATAATTGAACTGAGGAATTTACATGAATTACAGGAAGAAATGAAGATGATCACAAACCCAAAAACTTGTTTTCTTTTGATGTTTGTCTCCACAGATTCTTTGATGTTCTTGGGCCGTTTTTTCAGTTTGTTGCCAGAGATGTGTCAGCGAAGGTAATAGTACTGATGTTTGGTAATATTTCATATGTAAGGTAAATTCCAATTGTTTTCCAAATTATGTATCTTGGAACAATTTCAGAATTTCAAATAGAATTCAGCTTTGTACACTGTTCCCATCTATATGTATATGGTGCCCTGTGTGTTTCCTGCTAAAATGTTTGATCCCTCATATTAAACTATTTAATAAATTCGCTGATGAATTTAATTTTTGTATTGTTTTGTGTAAATTTATTTAGCCATTGTTTATTATAGTATGTTATATAACATAAATAAGAATTAAATAATATTAATAAATAGAGCATTGTTGTTTATACAGTTCAACAGTGTAATTAGCTATTGTAGCTGTTGTTATTGTTGTTAAAAAATCAGCTACTCGGAACAAAAGTTCCAGGTAGCACGGGCTATGGCGAGCCCGTAGGCTTCATCCTAGTGTTGGTGCATGTCGGCAGGTGGGGATCCTTGAGAAGTACCTCCATGGCACCAATGGGGAACGTTACTCTACCGTCCAGTCTATGATCATCTACGAGAGAGACAACGGTCTCCTTATCAGCAGTGACAGACCTTCTGGAGCGAGGACTTTGTTGAGGCTTCACCGAGGTCTTGGTACGTTAACAGAAGAGAACCTTGTTGAGGCTTCAATGACCTTATTGAGACTTCAATGACCATATTGAGGCTTCAATGACCTTGTCGACTCTTCAACGATCTTTTTGAGGCTTTATCTAGCTCTCGGTACATCTTCATCACATTATATTATCTTATGACAGAGATGATGGTTTTAACACAATGAAACAATTTTTTTCTATTGTTATCCCTGGAAGTTTAGTTTAGGTCATGTTTTATGCACCCCATACCCATGCTGTGGGCGGTAGTGGAAAGGCTACAGAGCAACATAATGGGATTAGGGACTAAACCGCAAAATTCATTTAACTAAGTTGCAATTTTTATGATATAGTTACAAAATTCAATACACATCGTCACATCACCAGAGGGCTCGAGTCTGATCGTAAGTAGTCTCTAAATTAAGCAACTGACGTATGTGGAGAGCTTAGAGAAGACATCATGAAGGTAGCTGAAGGCTGCAGACTTATGATATAAAGCATCACAGCTCTAGATAAGGAGTCGCCAGCTTTCAGGTGCCTCCAAGACGTCTTCACTAAGCTGTCTGAGGCGAAGGTCAAAGCAAGTTTGAGAAAAATAATATCCATTCTCCACACTCTGGAGTCATAAGAAATCAGAAAATGACACTTACTATCCAGGGACAATTTTTTTTTAGCACTGTATAATTTTTTAAAGATGATTATGATAACCAAAGTGACAATGAGTAAAATAATAATGATGATTCTACACAGTGTTCATATTTGTTACAGATTATGCTTCAGAATTCGTTAAGGAACTTGGGAACACGTCAGTTGAAAACAACTTCGGGAGGAGAGTGTCTGAGATCTACCTGTCAACTCTGGGAAGATTACAGAACAAAATACTGGCAAAGACTATATCAGGACTGCTACTCTTGTTGCCGCCAAGGAAAACTTTGCTTCAGAGGGTGAGTTACGAGTTCCTTTTATATCGTTTTCTAGATAAGGTTCCCGGCTGTGCCCAGGTCTCTCTTCCCACTTTCTCTACCCCCCCCCCCTTTTCCTCTCACTCAATCTTCTTTCTTCCCCTGTTTTCGCACTTTCTCCCACTCTCCACATTTCTTACCTTTCCTCCAACATCCCCCCTTTCGCCTTTCCTTCCCTCTCCTCTTTCGCTCACGTTTCTTGTTCTCCTCCACTCTCCACCTTTCTCTTCATCACTTCACCCCTTCTCCTTCCTTCCCTCCCCCACAACATCCCCCTTTGCTTTTAATCACTTCATATAATTGTCAATGTTTGGCCTTGTAATTACTATATATACAAAATACTTCATAATAATAACAAGCGTTTTTATTATTTTTACTTATTGTTAATTTATTAATTAAAATCCCACATTAATATTGAATGTCTTCTAGCATAATGATCACAACACTTAAATATTACATAATGACTTGTACGGTATATTATATTAAGTTCCCAAACTATTAAATTTGAAATTTCCTGATTCAGATATCTAAAAGAAATATTGAAGTTGAGAGAGAATTGTTGAGACAGTTTCCTATGATGAGTGAGTCTATGTCTCTCGCCTATAACAAAACTCAGCAGATATACGAGGAATACAACATCCTGGATTTACCTTAAATTATAAGGAATGACTGTTAATACTATAGTTATTAAATGTTTAATAGTTACTAAATATTTAATATGTTTTATAGTTACTAAATGTTAAATATGTTTTATTTGTCATGTGTATTTGTGGTAATATGTATTTCACTGTAGTTGCTGAGTGTATATATATATATGTTAGGTGTGGTTGACATGTGTACTTGCGATTACATATATTTTATATACCATGAGGAGTTTGTTTGTTCCTATGTTAACATTAGTGTGGTGGTTGTGTATTGTGTGTTAGTGTAACAAGTCTGTGTATAAAGCAGCTAGCTACTTGACTGAGTTTACCTTGGTGTAGTGATGGGTGTACTCAAGCCGGGACACTAGTTTACTGACCAGCCAGGGAGTATATTTTACTTCTGAACATAGTTTAGGACGAATGTTCTCTCAGGAAATATATTTATAACATTGGCCTAACTGTTTGTAGCAAATTTTGTGTTTTTTTACACGTAAAACTGTTCCTGAGACTCGTCTGAGACGGTATTTCAGGAAAGTAATCTCAGTAAGATATTTTACGATATATGAATCAAAATCATAATTTATATAATTGTACAGTGGTGTGATTTCAGACAAAGTGATTTTTTTAGAAAAATCATCAGGACAAATTTTGGACCTTTGACAAACCGCCGGCTTCCTCTTATCGAAGTAACTAGAGTGTTAGTGACCCTCAGGTAAATTTAAGTGCTTTTTCACAAATGTGAATTATTGTTTTATAAATAACTTTGGCTGACGAGAGAGAGATTGTGGAAATTCTAGATAATTTAGGAGTAATGATCATTACAAAACATTCATCATCATGTAAGAATGTTTTGACTTGATTGTGATCACATTTGGTGCTTCCATTTCTTATATAAACATTATGGGGGAGCCTAATTACAGTGTCCACCGGTGACTGACAAATTGATGTTGCTTTTAACACCGTTATGCAACTAATTTTTTTTATTATACATTGAAGTACTCTGTATATTGATATTGATGATGTACTTAACAATATATGTTGAAGATACGCCTTTATTACTTTCTTTAATTTTATGAGCTACAAAAGCTTAAACTTGTGAGAGAGTAAGTCCACTACGGTCTCACCATTGCCCGTGCTACTTGGAACTTTTTGTTCAGACAAGCACTTTTGAAGCTCTTATCATCCTCAGCATAAACGCCTCTACCAACATCTGTACTGGTGCAGTCATCGGGAGGATAAACCCTTCATGCAAACTGCACCTACTATCAAGAGGAAGAAGTACTGGGAAGGGGTCAGGATAAGGATTTGGGGTGGGACGGGGGTGAGGGAAAGGAATGGTGCACAACTACTTGCATGGTCGGGGATTGAACACCGACCTGCATGAAGCGAGACCGTCGCTCTACCGTCCAGTGCAAGTGGTAGGAAAAAATATATATATATATTAGATAAGCAGTGGGATGTACGTAAAGAAAAATGTAAAGGAACAACTTAAAATAATACCTGAGTGAGTCAGGCGCCGACAGGAGCTACCGCTGTTGTTGTTGATTTAGTGGGCGACGACGACCTTGGGATCGGATGCGCCCCGGCGGACCCGTTAACGGTAAACCGCGAAGCCTGGAAAGGTGAAACGCCAAGCCTAATCGAGAAACATGTGACGCCAATCACTGGAAACTAATATGCCTCGCGGTAAAGTAACGCAGTCAGGCAGATGATTGGGGAGCCCCAGGAGTCCCTCAGGGTGACAAGCATCGGCCCCGCTCCACACAGAGAACACCAGGTAGCAAAACCAAAAACTCGGCCCCCAACTAAAACGCAAAAAGTCATCCAGTGTTTTCCGGCAGCGCAGAAGCCGGCCGCCCACCACGGCTGAGGGCACACCAGGAGACCACAAAGACCCGCCAACCCTCGGCACCTCTCGGCCAAGCCGCCCCCAAACACCGTCACCCCGCTGGGAGAACCAGTCAGAACGTCAAAGAAAACAAATTTACCAACAATCCAGAGTGTGAGGGAATGGTTCGCCAGCTCACTTACATTATGCCTGAGGAGGCCAGTACACTTGTTAAGTGCACCTGTACTGCGAAGTCAGGTGTTCCGTCGCATTGTCACTAAGAACCTGTAGAAGTGAAGTGTGGACGAGGAGATAATAACCCCTTGTTGTCATGTTGTCAGTCCAGAGGGACTTACGTCTTGTGTACACAGACGTACGGTGTGTGTGTGGGTACACACGGGAACATAGTATACATAGATAAGCCAAGGACTGAGAGGATGTCTATGTAATATTGTATATTCCATTCTGGTAGAATTGTGGTACAGTAATTCAATAATTTTTTATCGTCCGTGGGACGGAGTGATATTATTCCATGTGTAATCTTGCAGGTGTGGAATTAATTAAGAAATTAACTCAGATTTAGAAGAACAAAGAAATGCCCAGAGACCTGAAACCTGCAGTATTAAAAGCTATGACAAGCTTTGTAATGATAAGTATTTGTATGGTCAGCACAGTAACCGGACCAGGCAGTGTGATGTAGTCATTGCGCGAATTCGCCTTGGCTATAGACACATCTGGCAGGTTAGTGAGGCTGAGCCACTACCAGAATACTCAGATTGTAAACTCTGTGATAAACCTCTACTGCATTCACTAGAACACTATATTGTTGAATGTGAAACCGTAAAGGACTTTAGGCCTCCTGTACCACCAACTGTGTAAATATTTCATTGACTCAGGTGTTCTGGACGACATTCTAACAATTTATCAAAAATTTGCTTGTCCATTTTAAAGAATGAAGAACAATTTTATTTATATTACTTCTAAGCTGCATCACTTATGAACCCATCCCTGCCCTTGTGTGGCAGTGCACAATAGAAAGTTGTTTTCACATATTCATACATTAAAACATTGATTGTAACCATGATATATATGTGCTTCAGCCTACAGTTTAGACCTATTGTCTTGTGTATGACCCTCTGTCCTGCGTGACAGTGAATACCAGCATTATCCTCACTTTAATAAGACTTAATTGAAATCCTCAGATTAGACAAAATTGTAATTAATTTTGTCAATAAAGATGTTAATAATAATAATCTGTCATACAACCTTTCCTGGATCGAACCTCAAGGAGGCTTTCCTGGTCTCTACTGCGCCCACTGAATGAATACGGAGACTTTATATAATATACAATGTCCGCTGACGAATATTCCACTGTATTATGTATAGTGTATGTATTTATATAATACTATTATTACATAAACGCGCCTCCTCGTGATACTTGGGAAATGTAACGTTTTGGGGTCGACTCCTGACGGTCCTTCCGGAGGGGAAAGGGGGGGAGGAGGCGCCGGCAAGTGTAGCCAACGTATGTATTAAACTCTTCATTATTTTCCTACCAACGGGGGCTATACCCGTCCAAATTAAATTTGGCTATGCCGTCGCTTTGATGCGATGATATATGAAATATGAAAATTAAATTCAGTTTTTACTCCTTAATACCATGTATAAAAAGTGAGAGGAGAGATGCAGTGAGGTCGCAGAGTGCGTGTACTCAGAGGAGGCGAGTCAGTGAGGACCGGACAACTCCAAGCCGCACCAGCCACTCTCTCTCCACCACAGGTTGGTGTTTGTACACTCTACACGCTCTACAGGTTATTAATACAGCATGAGTGATGATTTGTAGTGATCAGCGAAGATTCGCTGATGAGTCGTTGCGGTCATTTGAGGAGAGGAAGTGTGGGAAGGTGAGGTTTAACTAGCCTATCGCAGGTGGCAAGACTTGCCGCATCGAGTTTTTCTATCCAAGGACAGCCTGGGGGTGTGTAGTTTGCTATGTTTATGTGTTTATTTATTTATATATATATACACACAAGAAGGTACATTGGGTTTATGAGAGTACATAGCATTGACGTTTTTACATTCTTGTAAAGCCACTAATACGCGTAGCGTTACAGGCAGGTCCTTAATATAACAGATAATTATAAGTTTATTACTGTCGCCAGCGGTGACTAGTTTACTGCGCACGCCTTGCTCCATAGCATTCCCGGCTTGGTGCCTTACCTTGCCTTGGTGCTTGATAATTACTTACTGTGTACCCCATACTCATCCTGTAAGCGGTAGTTTACTGTGTACCCTAAACTCTTAAGCATAACAAGATTACATAGGTCCCAAAAGGTCCTTAAGTAGACCTCAGGAAAAGTTTGTCTACTATAAGCGAAAGATGGATGCAGTACAAGATTTTAAGATTATTTTTTATCATTTCCTGTAGCGTACGATTTGATGTGTCTTAGTGGTCTTCACACAGTATAAGATGTTGGGCCTTAGTATGTGTTCGTGTAAGCAAGTTCCAGCTGTGACTGGGTATACAAGTGACAGGATGAACAACCCAGCGGGTTTTCTTCTTATTGGGGAGTGTTGTACATGCTGCTATGGTGGTGTGTCCACTCACAAGATGAGTGGCGCTGCCCAATAAACTCGCCCCTCGGGGCAAAATTTAAATTAAATTTACTTCACGCGATCTATTCACGAAGTTGTAGGACACAAGAGTGGTACCGGAGGAAGTGTCACCCTAGGTACTGTAGGACGTGGCACTGTAGGATGTGGTATGTGGTATTGGCAGGATGGATGGTACTTGCAGGATGGAAGGAGCGGAGGAGAGGCCAGGAGAGGCAACAGAGGCAGTGTTCAGCATCCCACACATCGTGAAGGGCTTCACGGTGCCAGAGGGCGGACAGCTGGCGCTAGCAGGGTACTTGGAAAGCTGGACGGAGGTGAACAAGTAATAAATGACTTTTTCAAATGACGTCTGAAGGAGGAATAATGTGTTATCGATTAATTTTTTGTTGAGGCAGGATATAGACAGTCTCGATCATTCAAGCTCACATATTACAGTAACTAGTAAAATAGATCTATAGTTTTGTACTGATTAAAAATTTTCAGTGATTTACTCGAAATATATATCTGATTCTTGTTGTATTTTTAACATGTATTGGAGTCACGTGTCTAAATAATGTGTACAAATTTTCTAGAGTATTTGTTTCACTAAAGTTTTCACTACACACTTCATATTAATATTTATTGAATGATTACTTTTCAAAAAAGTCATATATCACTAGGCTATATTTCATACCGTAGCCTAATAATTATACTAAATTAATGTAATGTTGTGTTGTATCTCTGTATTAAGTGACATACACAAGAATAATTGAACTGAGGAATTTACATGAATTACGGGAAGAAATGAAGATGATCACAAACCCCAAAACTTGTTTTCTTTTGATGTTTGTCTCCACAGATTCTTTGATGTTCTTGGGCCGTTTTTACAGTTTGCTGCCAGAGATGTGTCAGCGAAGGTAATAGTACTGATGTTTGGTAATATTTCATATGTAAGGTAAATTCCAGTTGTTTTCAGAATTATGCATCTTGGAACGATTTCAGTATAAAATTCAGCTTTGTACACTTTTCCCGTCTATATGTAGATGGTGCCTTGTGTGTTTCCTGCTAAAATGCTTGATCCCTCATATTAAAACATTTAATAAATTCGCTGATGAATTTAAAATTTTGTACTGCGCTGTGTAAATTTGTTTAGCCCTTTTTTATTTTAGCACGTATTATATAACATAGATAAGAATTAAATACACAACAATAATATTAATAACTAGAGCTTTGTTGTTTTTACAATTCAACAGTGTAATTGGCTATTGTAGCTGTTGTTGTTGTTAAAGCTACTCGGAACAGAGGTTCCAGGTAGCACGGGCTATGGCGAGCCCGTAGGTTTCATCCTAGTGTTGGTGCATGTCGGCAGGTGGGGATCCTTGAGAAGTACCTCCATGGCACCAATGGGGAACATTACTCTACCGTCCAGTCTATGATCATCTACGAGAGAGACAACGACCTCCTTACCAGCAGTGACAGACCTTCTGGAGCGAGGACCTTGCTGAGGCTTCACAGAGCTCTTGGTACGTTAACACACGAGAACCTTATTGAGGCTTCAGGAACCTAGTTGAGGCTTTATCTAGCTCGCGGTACATCTTCACCAAATTATATTATTTTAAGAGAGTGATGATCGTGTTAACAGAGTGAAACAATTTTTTTTTCTATTGTTATCCCTGCTAGTTTAGTTTAGGTCACGTATTATGCACCCCATACCCATACTGTGGGTGGTAGTGGAAAGGCTACAGAGCAACATAATGGGATTAGGGACTAATACCAATATGTTTAAACACTAAAACCGCAAAATTCATTTAGTTAAGCAAGTTGCAATTTTTATGAGATAGTTACAAAATTCAATACACATCGTCACATCACCAGAGGGCTCGAGTCTGATCGTAAGTAGTCTCTAAATTAAGCAACTGACGTATGTGGAGAGCTTAGAGAAGACATCATGAAGGTAGCTGAAGGCTGCAGACTTATGATATAAAGCATCACAGCTCTAGATAAGGAGTCGCCAGCCTTCAGGTGTCTCCAAGACGTCTTCACTAAGCTGTCTCAGGCGAAGGTCAAAGCAAGTTTGAGAAAAATAATATCCATTCTCCACACTCTGGAGTCATAAGAAATCAGAAAATAATACTGTCCAGGGACAATGTTTTTTTTATCACTGTATAATTACTCTAAAAATTATTATGATAACCAAGGGGACAATGAGTAAAATAATAATGATGATTCTACACAGTGTTCATATTTGTTACAGATTATGCTTCAGAATTCGTTAAGGAACTTGGGAACACGTCAGCTGAAAACAACTTCGGGAGGAGAGTGTCTGAGATCTACCTGTCAACCCTTGGAAGGTTCAACAACAAAATACTGGCAAAGACTGTGTCAGGACTGCTGCTCTTGTTGCCGCCAAGGAAAACTATGCTTCAGAGGGTGAGTTATGAGTTTCTTTTATATCGTTTTCTAGAAAAGGTTCCCGGCTGTGCCCAGGTATCTCTTCCCACTTTCTCAACCCCCGCTTTCCCTCTCACTCAATCTTCCCATTCCCATCTTTCTTCCCCTATCCTCTCACTTTCTCCCGCTCTTCACATGTCTTACTTTTCCTCCAACATTCCCCCTCTTCCACTTTAATTCCCTCTCCTCCTTCGCTCACCTTTCTTCTTCTCCTCCACTCTCCACTTTTCTCTTCATCACTTCCCCCCCTTCTCCTTCCCTCCCCCACAACATTCCCCCTTGCTTTCAATCACTTCATATAATTGTCAATGTTTGGTCTTGTAATTACTATATATACAAAATACTTCAGAATAAAAAGTGTTCTTATTATTTTTACTTATTATTAATTTTATTAATTAAAATCCCACAATAATTTTGACTGCATTTCTACATAATGACCACAACATTCAAATATTACATAATGACCTGTACGATATATTATACTAAGGTCTTAAATTATTAAATTCGAAATTTCCTGGTTTAGATTGCTAGAGGAAATACTGAAGTTGAGAGAGAATTGCTGAGACAGTTTCCTATGATGAGTGAGTCTATGTCTCTCGCCTATAACAAAACTCAGCAGATATACGAGGAATACAACATCCTGGATTTACCTTAAATTATAAGGAATGACTGTTAATACTATAGTTATTAAATGTTTAATAGTTACTAAATATTTAATATGTTTTATAGTTACTAAATGTTAAATATGTTTTATTTGTCATGTGTATTTGTGATAACATGTATTTCACTGTAGTTACTGAGTGTGTATATATATATGTTAGGTGTAGATGATATGTGTACTTGCGATTATATATATTTATATACCATGAGGAGTTTGTTTGTTCCTATGTTAACATTAGTGTGGTGGTTGTGTATTGTGTGTTAGTGCAACAAGTCTGTGTATAAAGCAGCTAGCTACTTGACTCAGTTTACCTTGGTGTAGTGATGGGTGTACTCAAGCCGGGACACTAGTTTACTGACCAGCCAGGGAGTATATTTTACTTCTGAACATAGTTTAGGACTAAAGAAAAGTCATTGTATATGCACCGAGTAGTGAGGTATACTTCTCGCGTATGTGTCTGTTGTATTTTTAATTCTGTAAGTAATCACTTTAAATTTTAAGAGTCCCCCTCCCCCATACACCGTCATACACTAATACAACGCATCACTGCACTTGGGTTGATTGTATTGCAAGATTATGTAATTTCAAGATCTTGAAAGTATTAGCACAAGAGTATTAATACACAAATCCGTTTCCTAAATTTACCTGAGAGTAACCATCTATCTAATAGCCTTAACGGGGACAGGAAGCCGCCGACTTGTCAAAGATCCCCAATCTCTTGTTAGGTCACATTTTCATCAACTAAGTAACCAGTTTGACTCCGAAAAATATAAAAATTTGACATAGTTGACCAATCAAACTGACTTTAGGATTTTGGAAAAATCATATAAATAATATTAGTTAACACCAGTTGAAGTCTATTGAACAACCAGTGGTACAGTCAGAAGGTCCTTGGGGTTCTACTCCCGCGGTTGGACAGAAGAATTTGGACAATGTTTCATTTCACCTGATGCCTCTGTTCACCTAGCAGGAAACGGGTACCCTAGAGTTTAGCAACTGTTATGAGTTACAATCTGAGCAAGGTTGTGGTTAGTCAAGGGGTCGGAACCTCGATAAGTCTAACAGGCAATGTCCTTGACTATGCAGACGAGGAGTCACAATAACGTGGCTGAAATATGTTGACCAAACCACACACTAGAAAGTGAAAGGACGACGACGTTTCGGTCCGTCCTGGACCATTCTCAAGTCGAAACGTCGTCGTCTTTTCACTTTTTAGTGTGTGGTCCTTGACCATGATAAACCATAAGACTATAGCTAACCATAAGGGTAGCGTAACCCGCCAATTAGTGTAGTTTCCCCCTCCTTTGGTTTTCTTTAATTTTTATTTCTCTCTAGTTCATAGTAGTAATAGTTTCTAACCGTCCAAGTCTTCCTCGCCTCAGCTAGCTCCCATCAGCGCCTCACTCCTGTATTATTTGAAGTTCTTCCTTAACATTTTCTTTTACTTACATCCCACTGCTTATATTATCTAATATATATATTTTTCCTCATAACGATCCAACCATTACAAAGATTTGTTTTGCCTTTTACACACTGTTTTTACTTATAAGGTAAATCGGCTTGACCGTTGGTCTAAGGCCTATTAAGATGGTACTTACAGCAAGGTAGATTGTAAACTATGTGTGTGTTTACCTTTTTTGTGCCTGCAGGATCGAGTACTCTCTCTCACTATGTTGTTTTAGATTCAGTTACTCTGAACAAAAAGTTCTAAGTAGCACGGGCAATGGTGAGCCCGTAGTGGACTTACTCTCTCATTAATTTAAGCTTTCGTAGCTCATAAAATTAAAGTAATAAAGGCGTATCGTCAACATTTATTGTTAAGTACATCATCAATATCAATATACAGAGTACATCAATGTATAATAATAATTAGTTGCATAACAGTGTTAAAAGGAACATCAATTTGTCAGTCACCGGTGGGCACTGTAATTAGGCTCCCCCATAATGTTTATATAAGAAATGGAAGCACCAAAAGTGATCACAATCAAGTCAAAACATTCTTACATGATGATGAATGTTTTGTAATGATCATTACTCCTAAATTATCTAGAATTTCCACAATATTTCTCTCGTCAGCCAAAGTTATTTATAAAACAATAATTCACATTTGTGAAAAAGCACTTATACAAGTTACAGAAATTTACCTGAATTTACCTGAGGGCCACTAACACTTTAGTTACTTCGATGAGAGGAAGCCGGCGGTTTGTCAAAGGTCCAAAATTTGTCCTGATGATTTTTTTTTAAATCACTTTGTCTGAAATCACACCACTGTACAATTATATTAATTATGATTTTGATTCATATATCGTAAAATATCTTACTGAGATTAATTTCCTGAAATACCGTCTCAGACGAGTCTCAGGAACAGTTTTACGTGTAAATAAAAATACAAATTTTGCTACAAACAGTTAGGCCAATGTTATAAATACATTTCCTGGGAGAACTTTCGTTATGAGACAGTATAACGCTTGAGAACATTACGTACTGGAGAATATTTGAAATACATTTTGAGAACAGACGTTGAAAAAGAGAAAAGCTTTGAAGGAACGTTACCTAAATACGTCATGAAGTTTAAATATTTGAATGAGCCGTTGATATTAGCGGCAAGTTGTGTTGGGGGGTGTTCACCTTTCCTTTCCCTTCACTTTCTCTCCTCACTTTCTTAACATATTTATCATCTTCATGCAGTTTCTGTGAGGAAGTGGTAATACACTCTACTGGCGTTAAGCGAGCGCTTTGGCCTGGGTTCGTATCCTGGCCGGGGATTTCGGATTTACTTGTCGACAATTCTAAACTGTAGCCTCTGTTCACCCAGCAGTGAATGGGTACCTGGTTGTTAAACGATTTGGCGGGTCGTATTCCGGGGAATGTTAGGATTAAGGACTTGCCCGAAACACCACGGGTGCTAGTGGCTTTACAAGAATGTAAGAACTCTTGTATAAATCCCCTTCGTCCCATCCCAAATCCTTATCCTGACCCCTTCCCAGTGCTATACAGTCGTAATGGCTTGGCGCTTTCCCCCCCTGATAATTCCCTTCCTCCCTCTTGTATGAATAAAACAATGTTTGTATACACTGATGAGTGTCTTCTGGAGGCAATGTTTGTATACACTGAGGACATCTATAGCATATTTAAACATTTTCTCCTTTCTTCCAACCACAGACTCAGTTAAAGTCTTTTCTGAAACACAATCCTTTTCCTTAAACATCACGTTCCTCCTTAACATCCAGCTCCTCTAAACATCCATCTCTAAACATCCTCCTCCTCTGAATCGGCAATAATATGCCGCACCTGCTCCGTGTCCATCTTAGAGAGGCAGCTGCCGTTGGCGGATGAGAGGCGGGTGAGAGGATGGAGGCTATGATAAACGGTAGCGGATGACAGGGCCTTCACCCGCGTGTGGATGAGGAACCCAGCCACCAGCATCAGCACGAACACCACGGCACAGTGCCAGCAGAAGATGAGGGTCACAATCATCATTTGGCTGTGGTCATCTTCGGTCCACTTCTGCCCCACTGGAGGGTACAGGATGAAACCCACTTGGAAGAACCAGGTGCCCTAAGAGACCAGATAGGAAACATTAGCATTTGGCTAAGATTAGACCCCCCTAGCTAGGATCAGACCCCGGCTAGCACCACGCTCCAAAACACCATTTATGACTAATGGTTGTATTACAAGTATACACATTGCATATGTAGTAAACCGTATGTATATTCGTGGATGCATGTACTAATGTAATGAATGTAATGTACTGACCTGAAGGAGGGTGAAGTAGACCCTGGCGAGGGCTGGGAGAACGCTCCTCCTGTGGTACATCTCTAGACCCGTGGCTACCACACACCCGGCCACCACATACACCAGGTACATGTGCACCTGTGGAGGACCAGTAACACCTGTACACCGGGAATGTCTATACCCAAGGGACGCAAACAACACATAAATTAACAAATACAGAGAAAAACCGCGACAACAAAGGTAGGAAAAGAGAGAGAGAGAGAGAGAGAGAGAGAGAGAGAGAGAGAGAGAGAGAGAGAGAGAGAGAGAGAGAGAGAGAGAGAGAGAGAGAGAGAGAGAGAGAGAGAGAGAGAGAGAGAGAGAGAGAGAGAGAGAGAGAGAGAGAGAGAGAGAGAGAGAGAGAGAGAGAGAGAGAGAGAGAGAGAGAGAGAGAGAGAGAGAGAGAGAGAGAGAGAGAGAGAGAGAGAGAGAGAGAGAGAGAGAGAGAGAGAGAGAGAGAGATGAGAGTGAGAGTGAGAGTGAGAGAGAGAGAGAGAGAGAGAGAGAGAGAGAGAGAGAGAGAGAGAGAGAGAGAGAGAGAGAGAGAGAGAGAGAGAGAGTGAGAGAGTGAGAGTGAGAGTGAGAGTGAGAGAGAGAGAGACAGAAACAAAGAGACAGAGACACTCACCTGTACGTCCATGGGAGTACGCCCGTGGAGGTGGTAGAGAAAGAGGAAGCCCTCTATCAGGAAGGCCAAGATGGCGGAGACGTAGTCGAGGTCCTTCGGGAGAGGCGCTCCGTAATGGCCAAGAATATCCATCGCGCCATTAAGGCCGAAGAAGAAGAACATGGTCATGTGCTGGGCGTTGTTCAGGTGGACGAACACCCCGTTCTTCCAAGCCGTCGCGAACTCACCTTATACATGTAAACAAAAATTTTTGTTTCGATTATATTCTCTGTTTTGTTTTTTTATCTGCCCACTCGAGTGCTTATGGGAAATTATCTTTAGTTAGAGGTCTATTTTTTGTGTTGTAGTGTTATACAGTTGTGAATGGACCAAAGACTGATAAACTTCAGGAAATGTCACTCAACTCAGCTCTGCTAGGGACTTGCTCAGGATATGGAAAATCCGTGTTTTATTTTTATATAGGCCTACTAGTCTGAAGAACATCTTTTTCAGTTCTTCTTGTTCCACCTGTTCAGAGATATACCAGACTCCCGGGTCACCTGTATGGACTGTTAACAGACACACAACTCAGCGCTTACAGACAGTCAACAGACACACAACTCACCCTTACAGACAGTCAACAGACACACACCTCACCCCTACAGACAGTCAACAGACACACAACTCACCCTTACAGACAGTCAACAGACACACAACTCACCCGTCATGCCAATAACGACAGCAACAACCTTCAACATGCCCTCAAAGGGCAGTTTGGGGCAACAAGGGGTAAAAAAGGTGCTGGTGTTCCTGTAGAAGATGCGACCGCCGCCTCCTCCTCCCTCTCCTGCAGCCCTCTTACACATGTAGTACCTCCTGAAGATGCTCAGCAGCCACCACAGTGAGAAGAGACTGAAGAAGGTCCCAGGGACGACGTGGCCAAGGAATGAGCCCATCTTTGCGTTTACTATAGTTTGTGCTGAAAAGAAAGGAGAATGTACTGAGATTTAGATGCCTAACTAATTTATTCTCACTTGAGAATTGTATTTCGGGGTAAACAATTTCAGATTCAGATTCAGATGTTTATTCAGGTAAGGTATATACATACAAGTGATGTTACATTAATGGATTGATATATAGATAGATCTAGTACATACAATGCCTAAAGCCACTATTACGCAATGCGTTTCGGGCAAGAAAACATTAATATCTAGAACTTAATACTAATTGAGCATAAAGAATAAAAGATGTTGAGAACAAATAAAAAAAAACATGACTGAACAAGCAGCACAAATACAATAGGTTGACAAACAGTGTTGATTAAAAAAGAAAAAAAAAAGAAAATAACAGACATGGGTTGACAATAGAGGAGTGAGGTAGATTACAGGGAATTTATTAGGTAGTGTTTAGTTTTTATCTTAAACTGGTTGAGAGAGGTACAGTCTTTAACATGGTTGGGAAGGTCATTCCACATTCTGGGCCCCTTGATTTGCAGAGCATTTCTAGTTTGATTAAGACGTACTCTAGGAATATCAAAACTGTATTTATTTCTGGTGTGGTGCTCATGGGTTCTGTTACAACCTACTATGAAGCTTTTAAGATCAGGATTGGCATTATAGTTTAGCGTTTTATATATGTATAATACACATGAGAGAATGTGCAGAGACTTAATATCTAACATATTAAGAGATTTGAGTAGGGGTACCGAGTGATGTCTGGGGCCAGAGTTGGATATTGTTCTAATAGCGGCTTTGTGTTGGGTAATTAGAGGACGTAAGTGATTTTGGGTAGTAGAACCCCAAGCACAAATACCATAGTTGAGATAAGGATAGATAAGGGAGTAATAGAGAGTCACCAGGGCAGGGCGTGGTACATAATATCTGATCTTAGAAAGAATGCCCACAGTTTTTGAAACTTTTTTAGATATATTTAGAATGTGTCCCTGGAAATTCAGCTTGTGGTCAATGAGAATGCCAAGGAATTTGCCATCTAATTTGTTACAAATTTGGGTATTGTTTATTTTGAGATTTATAAGACTAATTGTTTTGTTGATTTTATAAGTTGTGCAAATATAAGGACCTAATGTGGATCTAGCTTCTATATTTTTCCCTAAAATTGAGTTGATTGTGATTTGAATAATTTGGTCTATGGGTTTCGCCTGTACAGTCAGGGTCTGTTATGGGGCCTCGGCCAAGACCACATAATTAATGGGCCCTCGGCCAAGGCCACTTAATGGGCCCCTTGGCCAAGACCACTTAATTAATGGGCCCTCGGCCAAGGCCACTTAATGGGCCCCTTGGCCAAGACCACTTAATTAATGGGCCCTCGGCCAAGACCACTTAATGGGCCCAACCCTCTGGTCAGTGTGGCTTTTCAAAAGCTAAACACATATACATGTAGACATTACATAATAATATGTAATGATTAATTATCAAAGTTATATTATGCATAGCTTCGCAGAGGAAAGCATTGAGGCTATGTTCCAATACTTATATATATCTGAATTCCTTAATCCAGAAAATAGTATACAGAGGTTGAGAAGCCGTACCTTAGTCTACGGTATACTGAGGTCTGGAGGTGACGCAGGTGGAGTGAAGGAAAACATCTTGACAAGTATTATTGAAGTAATAACTGCCCGACTAACAGTGAACAATCGTTTGGGTATTTAGCTGATGGCCACTAACACTAGTGTCCTCTAAGGACAGGAAGCTGGCGGTTTGTCAAAGCTCCTCCCATTTACCCTGAGGATCTTTTCCAGTTGGATTTTAATACTTATTAATTAAGGGAGTTTTGACATTTACGGCTTCGGCAGGTAGGCGGTTCCATGGGTTTGAACAATGTGGGTGAAAAAGCATTTCCTGTTCTCAGTCCTACACTGTGGCTTGTTGAGCTTGAAACCATTGCTCCTTGTTTGTGTTACATCTGACCTTCTGAAGAAATTGTCCGGATCAGCATCCTCCAAATTGTTCAGTATTTTAAAAGTTTCAATGAGATCCGCCGGCCCTGTCATGCGTGGGTTAAGATGTTCTTGAGAGAATATTAAGTAAAGGCAAGTAAAACTCTGCCCACCGCTCCTCCTCAGTTGTGTAACACTTCGTGTGAACCGTTAAAACATGAACGACAACGTGTACAATACAGGAATTACACGGTAGAAATAATCTGACAGTGTTACCAAGTGATTACTCCAAGTATTATTTGACATTTGTCCATTTTTATCTTACAAATAAAACGTGTTGGAGAGGCCTTGAACATGACCTACTTGGCCTTCTGGGGTAATCCAGCCCTGAATGCAATTGAGTTCCTTCTCGACTCACAATCGGGAATTCCGGACTTGAATACCTTTCGAGACAGACAGACAGGCTATACCTGTCTCCAACAAAATAAAAAATATATATTAAAAATAGTGTGGTCATTTGGAAGAATGTTGGTAGAGAAGCCTCGCTGGTTCCCTTTGACCGTCCCAAAATGTTTCACACGTCTCGTGGAGACTGCAACATTGTCAGAGCATATCCACAGCATATCCACAACATTCCTCGCCAGCGGCGTAAAAATTAGCGGGTTTTTAGCGTGGAAATCAAGAGAGATAAGAGAGTGAGTCAGAGCTGAAGTCCGAGGCGCTCCCTGAGTCACGTAGCAGGAACTACCATGATCGCGGCTACGGAGCAAACGTCAGGTGTCACAGGAGGAGTTACCTAGTGACGTGTCTCCCGATGGAAGGTCTAATGTACTTGTAGTGGATGGATGGAATAGATTTGATCAAGTAGTGGTTATTACAGAGTGGCATGAGTGCCTCTTCGCACTCCTAGCCTCATGGCAACATGGTCCCACATTTTTACCCAAAATTTTATATCCAGTTACATTCTTGTTTCTAAAATTATATGGCAACTTTTATCTCTACACATTCTGTGAATACTTCATATGAACTTTAAAGAAAGTGTTAATTTCTTCTAGGAAATATTGAAGCATGGTAATAGGATTGAAGCTGCCTCCCTGCACTTGTAGCCTATTTACGCTGAAATATATTTAATTCTCGCTTCACTTGGAAGTCAGCAGTCATTTATTTTTTAGAGTGTGGTCTATTTTAAGGATTTGAATATCTAAGTTAAACTTTAATGAACTTCTATTAGTATGGGTAGAATATATTGTAAAAACAGTCCGTCCTAATTTCAGGTGTTGATACGATAATGCCTGACTTGAGTAAAGTGTTACATATATTCATGTAAAGTTAACTTTGTGATTACAATGGAGGTCGGAGTACCTGACCATCGCTTACTGTGCTCGTATCAAGAGCCCAGTGTGTCGTTATCAGCTTATCTGGTCTTATCTGCTACTGGCGCAATGAAGACCTTTCACACACCAAGGACACACCCTCCCCCCCTCCCCCCTGCTCTAAGGTCACTACAGCCAGAGGCAAACACGGAAAGCATCACGTCTTGTTGGTCCATATATACATATTCTGTTCTGTTTGCCACTGTTTCTATATTTACCTGTATGTGCTGATTAGCTCACACTATAGCTCCCTGGTCCCGCCTTTCTAGCTGCTCTGTAATGACTTTCCTCCTGTTTCTCGTGATGTATAGTGAGGCTGCTTGCTGAGTTTGTATCAACGATCCTCTGATGAAGTTTTTCCTGACGTCTCTCCGGGTCGTGTGTGTCACCAGCTTCCACTCGTGTTCTCTGGTCGTGATATTCATCACTGTGAACATTGCCTTTTTGTCCACCTTATCAGTTGTCCTTAATATCGTGCATTGTTATCATGTGATGAATCGTCTGTTAAATTGGTTATCGTGACTGAGCTCGGTATTTCACTATAAAGGAGTCCAACTAGCTACGGGACAAGTCTAGTCGCACATATTTGCAATTCTTTATATATAATATATATAATTTTCCTATATACTTGAATCCTGTGTTCACCTTTGCGGTAAATGGGTACTTGGGAGATAAGTAACTGTTGCAGGGTTGCATCCTGTGGAAGGTCAGTAGTTCTACCTTGGGGAGCCTCGATTAAGCCCCATAGATACACTGGCTGTCTGTCCCCGACACAACGCACTACTCAATTAGTTGTGTCTCCACACGCATCACTCCAAACATACCAAGGTAATCAATGTTTCCTTAGCAGCACCAACAGCCGTGTGAAACAAACCGGTTTGGCACACTGGGCCGCTCGCAACACAGGCTGTACTCACCACCACAACACATGCCGCCCTCATGTGCTAACACCTACACAAAGGTGCTGATGATTGATTGATAAAGAATAAGCCACCCAAGATGTGGCACGGGCATGAATAGCCCATAAACAAAGGTGTTTAATAAGACCCACCTTTATATGAGACCGTTCAGTATTAATTCCGCAGTCGGACTCCGTAAATATCACAAGTTAGAAAACGGCGTCAAATAATATATAAGTTTACTTCATTACTAAATTAGTCATTGCGACAGCCTAGGTCTTATATTAACATATACCAGTTGAGTTGAGTTTATTTATTATTCACTTCCATGTCATTCTGTGCACTGTAGTGAAAATGTTAGAGGCACATAATTGGGTTCAGGAACTGAACCTCTAATATTCGTTTAGCTAAGCAACTTACAGCACTGAACAGCTAGTTACATAATTTATTAACGTAAATCAACAGTATGTTCATAATTTGTTAAACTAACATTACCGGGACCTCCGGAGAGGCCAAGCACTAAACCTGAGTGTCAAAGCCGTTTCTTTTGTTATAATAAAATAGTTACACTTAGAATGGGTAAGAAAAAATATAATGCAAAAATATTGACTTAATAATTGATCACGATTCATTTCAGAGACCCACGACCCACCTGAGAGACCCACGACCCACCTGAGAGATCAACGACCTACCTGAGAGACCCACGACCCAACTGAGAGACCCACGACCCACGACCCACCTGAGAGACCCACGACCCACCTCAGAGACCCACGACCCACCTCAGAGACCCACGACCCACCTCAGAGACCCACTACCACCTGCGAGACCCACGGCCCACCTGAGAGACCCCACGACCCACCTGAGGACTGGAGGGAGGTTTGCGCACAGTAAGGCGCTCCTGGCTTAGGCCAACTCCAGGCGCCACAGTAATGTGGTAAGGTTGTGCAGGGGAGCCCGGCGGAGGCGCCACCTCTCCCACCTCATGCACACTTTACACTGATACCCCTCACTCTCGTGTCCGCCTCTGTTATCTGATAACATGCAGGAAACCGCCAATCACAATGTAAAATAGTTTGATGTCATGGAAATAAGACACAATGTAAAATACCAACTCCCCCCACACTAAATATTATCAGTCATGAATTTTAAAACTTTCACTCATAGATGTCAACCAACAAACTCACACTAAATATAGAAAATGCTTACTACGTTTTATTCAAATGGAATTCCACTTCAGATAGATAATGTTGACATCAGCCATAATAACGAGGGGAAGTACCTTGGCCTATATATAGACAAGAGATTGGACTTCAGCACCCATATACAACACATAGCCAAAAAATCTCAAAAATGGTCGGTATACTTTCTAAAATCAGATATTATACTCCCCACTCTGCTCTCCTCTTTATACTACGCATTAATATATCCCCTATCTTACATACGGTATCTGTGCATGAAGTTCAACCACTATAAATAACCTCAAGCCTATCATCTCTCAATAAAAAAATAGGCTATCAGAGCTAGAACAAAATATGTTTTCAGACAGCACACAGCCCCTCTATTGAAGTCCTTTAACTTGTTAAATATGTACTCACTCCACACATTCTCATGTGCAATCATGTACAAAACCTTGTTCCTAAATGCTAATCTTGATCTGAAACATTTCCTTGATAGATGTAATAGAATCCATGATCACCACACCAGAAATAAATATCTCTTTGATATCCCCCAGAGTCAAACTAAATCTGTGCAAACACTCAATGTAAATAAAATGGCCCAGTCTTTGGAACTCATTCCCTGATGAATTAAAAAATTGTACAACCTCTGCCCTGTTCAGAAGTAAAACCAAAAAGTACCTAATTTCAATCTCATAGTTACCTTCCTTGTGCTTCAAACTCACACTGCATCTTGTACTACCCACTCCCCCAATATTAGTACTTAAGACATATATCTTTACCAGTGTAATCACCTCTGTCAACTTATGTTGTAGTTATTTGTTGATATAAAACCTTATTACAATGTACCTTTTCATCTTACCTGATTTGTTAGATTAAGGATCTGCCCGAAACGCTATGCGTGTTAGTCGCTTTACAAGAATGTAAACATATCACTAATATAATCTCACCAACCCATTGTACGTTCTTGTAAATAACAATTCCAGCAATGTATATTTTATTGTAAAATATTCGAGAAAAATATTGTACAAATATATATATACAACAAAAGACAAAAGGAAGGGGATGGTAGGAGAAAAGCAAACAGAAACTGTATTGAAGAGGGGACTTAAACATTCCCTCTATGTGTGCTTTCCTCCGAGGCTAAGGGTCCCCTTCTTCCAGTCTGAGGTAGTACTCCCTCGGGCTGGAAGAAGGGGGACCCTGAACCTCGGAGGAAAGCACACAACGCATTAGAGGGAATGTTTAAGTCCCCCCTTCAATACAGTTTCTGTGTTTCTGTTTCTTATTAAGTGTGAACCTCCTACCACCCCTTTCTTTTGCGTTTTGTTGCGCTGTATTAGACATTTAAAGGTTACAGGATGTACATTGGTTGATATAATGAGTGTTTAAAGGTCATTTATCTCTTGGAGCTCCTCCGCCTTCGGAAAGGAACCGAGGACGCAGCAGGCGTTTTCCCTCTGGATCGCCACACTGAGGCGCTGAAACAAAGAAAACAGGAAGCTCTTGGGTCCCTGATGATGTCAATGAACCTGGATCCCAGTTCCTTGAGAAATCCCAAGGCACTCCTACCCCAGGGGCCATGCGATTACCGGACCACGGCCACAATGGGGTGGGGTGGTGATTCTTTGGTAGGGTTAGGAATGGACTTTGGTTGGGCTTGGGGGGGGGGGGTTGTTTGGTCCGGTGGTGGTTGGGTGAGGTGTTTGTTGGCTAGGCTAGTGGTTACACAGCTGGTTGGAGTGATAGTTTGTGTGTTCACCTAGTTATATTCATCTAACTAGGTGAACTCTGGGATCCAACTCTGGCCCCAGACATCACTCGGTACCCTTACTCAAATCTCTGAATATGTTAGATATTAAGTCACTGCACATTCTCTCTTGTGTATTATACATATATAAAACGCTGAACTGTAATGCCAATCCTGACCTCAAAAGCTTCATTGAAGGTTGTAACAGAACCCATGAGCACCACACCAGGAATAAATACAGTTTTGATATTCCTAGAGTACGACTTAATCAAACTAGAAATGCTCTACAAATCAAGGGACCCAGAATGTGGAATGACCTTCCCAACCATGTTAAAGACTGTACCTCTCTCAACCAGTTTAAGATAAAAACTAAACACTACCGAATAAATTCCCTGTAACCCACCTCACTCCTTTATTGTCAACCCATGTCTGTTATTTTATTATTATTATTTTTTTTTAATCAACACTGTTTGTCAACCTATTGTATTTGTGCTGCTTTTTCAGTCATGTTCCCCCTTTTTTTTTATCTTTATTTGTATTTGTTTTCAACACTTTTTATTCTTTATGCTCAATTAGTATTAAGTTCTAGATATTAATGTTTTTCTTGCCCGAAACGCATTGCGTAATAGTGGCTTTAGGCATTGTATGTACTAGCTCTATCTATATATCAATCCATTAATGTAACATCACTTGTATGTATGTACCTTACCTGAATAAACATATTTATTTATTTATTTTATCTAGTTGTACTTGCGGGGGTTGAGCTCTGCTCTTTCGGCCCGTCTCTCAACTGTCAATCAATCAACTGTTACTAACTACTAACTAATTTCCTCCCTCCCCCACACACACCCAGGAAGCAGCCCGTAACAGCTGTCTAACTCCCAGGTACCTATTTACTGCTAGGTAACAGGGGCATCAAGGCGACAGAAACTCTACCCATTGTTTCTCGCCGGCGCCGGGAATCGACGGCGCCGGGACTCGCCGGCGCCGGGAATCGAACCCCAGACCACAGGGTTACGTGAGCAGCGTGCTGGCCACTCAGCCACCAGCCTCTATATTTTGAAATAGAAATTGTAATAATAATAATATAAAATATTATTATTAAATTTATGTAAACAGCATATTAATTTAAAGATTTTTCCCAATACGTTGTGGGTAATTAATGGCTTTGTAAACAGTTGTATAATAACTTCTGTGAATGTAAACGTTGTAATATATAAATTATACATGTATTTTAAATTATATACAGTATATATTATACGAATAAAATTTTTCATACTATAACATTCCCCGGGATCCGGTCCCACTGAAAACATGCCAGCTTTACGTGACGTCACGAGTGTAAACATTACTGAGGCTTAAAATGTGGCAAACACTCTCCAGGAGAATATTTAATCATTTACCGTCATGTGGAGGGGCATTTGGAGGACCTGGAGCGCCACAGAGCCATTTCTACAGACAATCTTCCCGAATGTGTAAGAGAAGAGGAGAATCACTCTCTCATATCTTGACAAAAGCAGCGGAGTGTGTGGGTAGGAAGGCAGGTCTGTGGGTCGTGACTGGTGGAGGGGTCATATTGGCTGGTTATTGCCTCACCAGGCGACCTGCTGCTGCCTGCCAGGCTGGCTTCACTGATGACACCTTTCATAGGGAAGATCTTGGCATATCACCTGTCAAGCCTCTTGAGGTGAGTTAAAGACTACTGTGATCCTTTGCCCGAAATGCTGTGCGTATTAGTATCTTTAGGTATTGTATCTTGAGATCTTCAGGTTATCTTGAGATGATTTCGGGGCTTTAGTGTCCCCGCAGCCCGGTCCTCGACCAGGCCTCCACCCCCAAGAAGCAGCCCGTGACAGCTGACTAACACCCAGGTACCTATTTTACTGCTAGGTAACAGGAGCATAGGGTGAAAGAGCATAGCTCTCTCTTTAAATCCAACATTATGTTTGTAACTCGTCTTCAATGTATGTACCTTTACCTGAATAAAAAATCTAAATCTAAATCTTCCACTAATGGAAACATGTTTATTTGTAACAAGACGCTTCAGTTGGTTTATTTGCTCTGGAGGTATTGTATAACCGGCCGTGTGCTAGGTGCATGTTTTTAAATTGTCGATGCCGTTCATTTATTATACACCCCATACCCATCTTGTGGACAGTAGTGGAATGGGTTACAGAGGCACATAATGGGCTCAGGTACTGAACCAGAAACCCTCCAGAATTTTTATTTTGAAGATCAGCATTGTTCCAATTGTCGATACTGAAAGTGGGAATTTTAAGTTTGGAGGTATTCTTATGTTATTGGTGCTACATAGCCTTCCCGGTTTGGTGCCTTCTATTGATAATTACTTATGTTATTGTGACCATCTTCAAGAGGTTTTAAAATCTTACTTGATGCAACACTATCCATGGCATGGCCTGAACAGTGAGGCTGTTTGTTAGTGACACCCGGGGCTATGTGGCCTGGTAATTATAGCCCAGCAACAATCCGTGGTATAGCAGCTAGCACATAACCTCACAATTGAGATGGCCTGGGTTTGAATACTAGACAGGGTGGGTTCTTTTTTTAAATTATTTTCCCCAATAAACCCAGCACAAATTGAGGAACTGGATGTTAAACAGTTAGCTTATTCAATTTCCCTCTTGAGAACTTCTGCCTTTCTGTTGCGGATATTTCATATTCTTGCAGTCAGAATGCGGCATAGAATTGCATAATTATATTTTCCTCCCATTTCATCCTCCCCCCCCCCAACATTTATTATGTATTATCAGTGACTACTGTGGAGTGATGTTTAGCTCTTTATGCCCTGTTTACTGGATTTGTTGTAGCTGTTGCATTATAATTTAACTATTCAAATGTATAATGTTTACAAATTATTGGTGAAAACAAGCCATTATATTTTCTTTATTCCATAAGAAATTCTCACCCTCCTCTTATGCATAGCTCTCCCATCTTTTCTGCAGTATGATTCTCCTAATGGTTTACCATAGTTGAGGATAAAAAGCCTGTTTGGTTTATCAAAGTCAACCCGAAGGTCAATTACTGATGTTTCCTAGGATGCAACCCACAGTCTCGTATATGAGACAGTTAGTTATAATTTAGCATATTTATTGGCAGATGAATGAGGCAGCAGCACTCACTCACTCCTCCCTCTTGCGCCAAGCCAGTGGAGTGACGGTAGATGCATCTTTACAGTTGTTGCATCGTGTTCTTAGGGCGAGGCTGGATTTCTCAGAACAATACAGGTTAGATATGAGTTACAGTGGATTAGCCTACTTTTGAAGAATATTGATTTGATTATAAATGTCATCATTTAATCACTTTTCTTTGCCTGCTTACCCTACATACTCCTCTGGTACATCCATGGTATTTAATAACAATTCATGTAACATCCATAGTCATATGGGTTATTCCATTCTCATTGCAATATAATCTCGTATCATCTCTTAAGAATGCTCTTCAAATAAACTATCAATAATTTGTCAAGTATTGCATGTCACTGAAGTGAAAATTGTAATGTATAATCTGAAATAATCTGCAATGCATTCCACAGAAAGCAACTGAATGATGCTATTGACCTTTTGGAATACTGCACCGCAGTCATACACAGTCCAGAGCAGCACGATAATATCTGGCAACATTTTGTCATTTCACGGGCTGAAATGGAGACATTAAAAGACCAACTTAAGGTATATTTCTATGCATAGTCTATATTTTTAATTTACCGTACAGTAAATCCTCTATTTAAATTCAATCAGGACAGTACAGGATATGTTAGCAAAATTTGAATTGTGAGACGAGAGATACACAAGTATCTACAAGAGCTGGTGTGTGGCGTTTGTGTTTTGGTGAGCTACACCCAAATACTACACTCTGACTTCATGATTATTCACAACATCTTGTGTTTTAACACATTTTCCATTATATTCTTGGTTCATAGCATTTTCCAAACATTGGGTTCGTCATTATGTAATTATTTTTGGCCAGAAAGTGGCAAAATATAGTGGGTATTTTTTATGGAGAGCAGGGAAAAAAGAGTGGACCTTATGAGGTTGTTTCAAGATATTCATAATTTTTCCCCATATAGCCTGGACTTCAATCAGTGTGAATTAAATTTGCACAAGGTTTTCCAGAAAACGTCCCTTGAGTGGAACAAGAATGGACTGTACTGTACTCTTATGTTTTTTATTAGGCCTTGCAAAATTTTATATCAAGGTACTTGGCTCATGTCTTCAGGTTTTATGTGATGAAAGAGGATTTGCTCTCTGCACACTATAATGTATAAAGCCCAAAGCATCCTGCCTCAGTTACAGGATAATGTCTTAAATTTGATATACAGTACTGTATATTAAAAAATAATTGAAGGTTTGTACACGCCTGCGGGCCGCTCCAAGCAACCGCCTGGTGGACCAAACTCTCACAAGTCAAGCCTGGCCTCGGGCCGGAGTTGGGGAGTAGAAGAACTCCCAAAACCCCCATCAATCGGGTATCAACCAGGTAACACCACTAAGAGTACACATTAGTAGAGATAAGGGATTCCTCAGATGAGTGTGTTCAGTTTGGATGTGGATGTTAATGAAGTGAGAAATGAAATACCTAAAAAGACAAAAATTGCAAGCAAGTACAAAAAGGTCAGAGAAATCTTGCTAAGGTTGTGTGAATTTATGGAAGGAATGATTAAATATAATTACAGTACAGTATAAGCAAAATGGAAGGAAAAACTGAAGGTACCAGGAATTTAATGATAGGAAATATATATTGTACAAAGCTTTCTGATGACCAAACCACACAGCAGAAGATGGAGAAACGACAAGACATTTCGGTCCGTCCTGGACCATTATCAAGTTGTATGTGATGGAGGAGAGATTGATTGATGAAGATTAAGCCACCCAAAAGGTGGCACGGGCATGAATAGCCCATAAGTGGTGGCCCTTTTGAGCCATTACCAGTATCAAGAGCTGATACTGGAGATGTCTCCCCCGTGCAAGGTGTGTGTGGTTGGCGGGATTAAATACTGAGTGCAGTACTGGTTGAAGGAAATTTTAAGGCGATCCAAAGGGTTGGAAGTCAGACAAGCATATGTGTGGGAATCTGAGAGCAAGACATCAGCTTTCCGGAGGGTAGTCCACATTGTCAAGGACAATCGCCGAATTGCCTTTGTCGAAAAGAAGGATAACAATAGAGTTGTTAGTTTTCAGGAAGGCAAGGGAAAGCTGGAAGCAATAAAGAAGGTGGTGATTTTTAGAAAACAAACTGTCAAGAGAGCGGATAAGGGCTGATAGAACAGCATTTAGTCAAGTAACACTTTGTCAACAATTGATCTTGTTCTACCTATTCAAATGCTCATTAATTACAAGGGGATTTAACAGGGATAGAAAGATCAGTGGGTGACACAATTGAAATGAAAAAACAACTGTTCATTGATGGTGATGATGCTCAACAAGAGAGAGAAGCTGCAGAAAGCTTGTGCTTTGGCCCAAGCAACTGGGTTCTCTCCAGGAAGTGGAACTGAACCGATGCTACTAGGATACACACACAATGTCTCCTTTAATCGTAGATTACTGACGATGTCAGCCATCTTTCTGACTGGCACAATGTGCCTGCATATTCAAACCAAGGATGCTTGAGGATATTAATATATAGTAAGCCCATTCTCACCATGATGAGGTCAAGTGCCAAGAGTACCATACCACTCTGGGTTTGTTACCATGTCATATATACAAGAAAATACTTCACTGTCACATTAACAAATAGTAAATACAGTACAGTACTTCAAATCTACCTCTGTAAACCTCAATATAAGTAATTAGTAGCTGCACTACATTTTTGTATAGTATATATATATATATATATATTTGCAGGTACAGTATCTGCTTTTTAGAATCAATCCTTATTTTTTATCTTCATCCATAATTCTTACTCATTGTTATCTTCATTATACAGGACTTGAATATGTTGATGACTTATGCATACACTACACTAGAGAATGCAGCCATGACGGCTTTCATGAGTGGGGTGGAGTTTACAGCGTCTGCAGCGCAACAAGCAATTGACAATGCAAGAGCTAAGGTGATGTAGATTTTCCTTCATTTTGTACTATTTTATAGGTATTCAGAAATTGCTGTGTAGTTGTAAAATCTCCAACTGAGCTTTTCAGGGTAGACGATCTGAATTTTACTTTGTTGACTATTGCTCTTCGATTTTTCTTTGTTGTCAAATTAAAGATCCATCTTTCTACTTTGCCAGTAAAGTTATTTCCTTCATGCACATTTTTGTGTGCAGTTACACCATGGTCACATCTGTCAAAAACTTTCTCGAAGCTTGTATATACTGTACAGTATTATACAATATGGTCAACTGGACTATATGTCCAGTCGACCATATTGCTGTTCAACTGTATTTTTTTTTTTAATTAAGAAAATTATGCATTTATAAAGATTCTAATTTAGTCGTATATTTTGTGTGTTCAGATTTTATAATCTTGTCCATCAAAGGCCTGAGTTTTATTTGCTGTTTATTAAAACCTTTATTTTTATTCATAAATACTTGTGTACCACCTCTGGTGCGAGTGTAGGGACCCATAGCCTTGGAGAAGAAAATAAAGAGTACTTGTATACTGTATTTGTACTTGTGTACTGTATATCATTAATATTAGTATAGAGTACAGTATTACATAAACATAGGACTATGGATCTTCTAATGAATGTTGTTTTCTTTCAGATGGAGATTGACACCAAGCAAAACTTGGCTTTAGAACTACAGTATGTTCAGAGACACACTCGGTATATCGAGGCATCGCAGAAGGTAATAGATGAAACTGAGAAAGCCAGTGAAGACACAGAACAAATAGAAGATGATCTAAAAGAAAATGAAGACTAGACTAGATTAATATGGTACTAGGGGAGGAAACTAAAGTGTATTACGGCGATGAATGCATACACAGTCAACCCAGAAGTTACTACTGTGCATTCATTCTTAATTTCATTTGCAGTATTTATTATATAAATAATATAAATATATGTAAAAAACAAGCAAAAAGCAATGTACTTTAAATAAGAGATGAGCATACAATATAATATATATATATATATATATATATATATATATATATATATATATATATATATATATATATATATATATATATATATATATATATATAATATATATATATATATATATATATATATATATATGTATATATATAATATGTATATATATATATATGTACACTATATGTATAAGTTATATATGCAATTAAATACATACTAATTTTTTGTGCTGTTGTGTTATGTGCAAATTATTTAAATATTTAATTTGTTAACAAATAAATTTACTAAAATATTGTGTATTAGCATAATATTTAGTGAAGAACACTTAAAAGATAAGACCAAGGTACTAGACCAGTTATGACATATTACCTAAAGTTGCAACACTGAGACCCAAGCTTGTACTGCCTCACACCTCACAAGTTACTCAGGCAAGCACTCCCATCACCTCACTCTCACTACATGTTCTCACCAACTCTTGTTCACTTCTGCATCACCTCTTGCTCATCTAATTATCACGCAACCCGTTCTCGCAAATTCGTAAAGTCAATATTGACTTATTAACTACGTGCATAGGTGATATACTAAACATAATAGATACCCCTAAAAAGATTCATAGAAAACACCGACCTTACCTAACCGTGTTAGTATCTTAAGATAAGCATCTTATTGCTTCGTAATTACAATTATTACTTAACCTATACCTATTATAGGTTAGGTAATAATTGTAATTACGAAGCAATAAGATGCTTATCTCAAGATACTAACAAGGTTAGGTAAGGTCGGTGTTTTCTATGAATCTTTTTAAGGGTATCTATTATGTTAAGTATGTCACCTATGCACATATTTATTAAGTCAATATTGACTTATTAAATTTGCGAGAACGGGTTGTATCACGAATTATCCCTTTTATCCAAATAATAATTCCCATTTTTACTGTTTTAATACAATTATTTTGTAATTTTGTTCTGTTCTACTCATTATTCCTTAGTGTAAGCAATTAGCAGCAGGTTTTCTGCATTATATTCAAACTGCATGTGGAAGTCTGTGGAAAAATAATTAAAGTGGCCCTCTTAATAATGAAAGGCATTTAATAAATATGTATTTCAATAGAATATAACAACTAGCCTCGAGGGCAGAGGTTAGCAGCCATTTAAAGACAGATAACCCCCAATTCTTTTCCCTCGGTACATTATATATTTCAGTAACTGCAAGCTCTGTTCACTTCATTGGGACACACTTCCATCCCAAAAACTTGGGCTGGACAGTAGAACGACGGTCTTGCTTCACGCAGGTTGGCATTCAGTCTCCGTTCTTCTAAGTGGTTGGGGGGACCATTTCTTTCCCCTGTCCCATTCCAAATGCTTATCCTGTTTCCTTCCCAGTGCTATATAATGGCTTGGTGCATTCCCCTTCCCCCATCCTCTTACAGAAATTGTAAATGTGTTCATACCTGAACACCTCCCTAGTATTTTGTATTGTTACAGTATTCTGTCGTATTCTTGGAGCAAGCAGTTTATATGTGTTGTTCATACAGACATTGTACACAATGTGCATTGTATTAAATGTTTTACTTAACAGATGTGTAAACATGATGTTGCAGCTTATTAAATGTTGTACATACACATGTGTACACCTGGGTAAAAGAGGATATATATAATTAAGGTACACTATCAGTGATGGAAGGTTGAAGGGAAATTCTTAATAAATCATTATTATTTTTAATAAAATACACCCACTATATTTAAAATTAATGGAAGAGTTCACCATTATATTTCAAGGGTTACTTCCTTGCCTCTAAATAATAATGTCATTATACCAAGCACAATTTAATTATAATAATTCATTGTGTCAGGGGACAGGCAGCATGAGTGTACAGTATTGATACACGTTAGGCTTATATCGAGGTCCCCCTCCCCGAAGGTCGAATTACTGACCCTAGCCCAGGATGCAACCTGACAAGATGCTGAATAACTCCTGGGTACCTACTTACTGTTAGGTGAACAGGTGCATTAGGTGATAGAGAAATGTACCCAACCATTTCTGTCCCGCCCAGGATTTGAACTCAAAATTCTTGATTGAGAGTGGAGAAAAACCCGACTGTACTTCCAGGACCCTCTAATTTCTAGTCAATGGTCAAAGATTTTAAAAACTAATCTAAACAATATAAATTTGTGGCCAGTATACTTATGCTTCATTTAAATACTGTAGATTTTGCATAATAAAAAAGATAAGTATGATTAGTGTAGACAATTACACTTTCTTATAGGGAAGCACCAATGTGAGAGGAGACTACACTGCTTGTAGACAATATTTGGTCTGGAAGGGTTTTCTCAACTCCAGAGAGATCAACTACATCTTATAAACAAGAAATCATGGAGGGGAAATAGTCAGGATAGTGAAGGTGCAGCGAGATAAGAGATTAAACATTTTAAGATTTATATATTACACTACTGGGGGTCCGGGTTTGATAAATAATTACTTACTGGAGCCAGGTTGGGCTCGGGGAGTAGACTAAACTTCCGGAGTCCCCTCCAGGTTTACTACTGTAATTTTGCCAAAGGAGTATAGCAACTATTGATTTTCCTTGATTTTGTTCAGTGATGGTGTAGCATTTGGTAACTTCAGACTAATATGTTTATTAATGCAGTTTTATTTAGTGAGGAGTTTGGCAACTGTAAAGTTGATGGGTATCATGTAACACTTAGTGTTACATGATAAAGGCATTGTTGGTGTTATTTATACAGCCACCAGGATAATACATTTATAAATCCTTGCATCATATTCTTTGCTGTTTCACTTATGTATATTTTGTCATGGTTGCTACGTAGTATAGTGTATATATAGGTTATCTTGAGATGATTTTGGGGCTTAGCGTCCCCGTGGGCCGGTCTTCGACCAGGCCTCCTATTTGTTACACACCCCCCCAGGAAGCAGCTCGTAGCAGCTGTCTAACTCCCAGGTACCTATTTACTGCTAGGTAACAAGGGCATCAGGATGAAAGAAACATTTTGCCCATTTGTCTCCGCCTCCACCGGGAATCGAACCCGGAACCTCGGGACTACAAATCCGAAGCGTTGTCCACCCAGCTGTCAGGCGCCCAGCTCCTGCCATTGTAACATTGTTTTGTTAGATGAGTTGTTCCAATTTTGCTTTACTGGTATTAATGTTGGATATTTATTGTTCATTTTATGTACCCCTTAAAAAAAAATATTTTTGTTACAGCTGTTTCGACCAAAGTAATACTGTACTTGACTTGCACGAATTTGAAAGACACCACGACACACTAAGTTTTATGAGATATCAGTCCCCACGCAGGTGTTGGTAGTGATGTTCTCCAACTCTCACCTGCTGTCAACATTACCTACCTATACTCGGTTGTCAATAGTGATGTCCACCCCCACCCCCCCCATCACATGCTCCTGTCAATATTACCCTCCCACACTCAGGTGTTGGTAGTGATGTTCTTCATCTCTGAACTCAGTTGTGCACAAAGAAATCACAAGAATGTGATACATGACAAAATACTAAAGCTGTACCATGGGATCAAAGTCACATCTTTGAGTTTCTCGAGCACGTACACTACAGACTGGACCATGATTGACTAAAAGTACTCTTATTTCACAAAGCCTTCAACAGTTTTCTTTATTTTTGTTTATTATATCACAGTACACATATAACATCACATTACATATATTAAAAAAACTTCTACATCCATTGTTAACTAATGTTTGTACAGTCACAACACTGTGGCTGAAAAATAACCCAACCTGCATAAAATGAAAGGAGTGCGATAATATTCCGGTCCATCTTGGACCTTTATTGAATTGAAACCTAACTCGATGATGGTCCAGGACAGACCGAAACATCATCACTTTCCGTTCATTTCATGTGTGGGTTGAGTGTAACAAATATATCCTAGATCTTTTACACTGAATCTTATATATCCTTCAGTGAAAGTAATTATCAAAGAAGGCACTAAGCCGGGAAGGCTATGTAGCATCCTTCAGTGAAAATGGAATACAATATCTTGCATATGCAAGAGTACAATAACTTGCCTTTCCTAGAAATACAATGCATTTATTTTAAATTTAAATTTGCATTAAGGTAGGAAAATATAGCTGCCCACCAAGTATGGCAGGACAATGAGGAGTCCTCAATTTGCACACACACACACACACACTACACCCATAAACACTAGTTTAGCCCAAAAACAATAGCTATGAGTTCCCATGGGAATTACTGGATAGGCTATGAGCCAAGATTCTTTTATAACAATTAAGTAAGTAATTATCAAAAGAAGGCACCAAACCGGGAAGGCTATGTAGCACCATCAAATGCACAAAATAATCAGAGGGCGCTAAATATCACCAAGGATGCCAATACGAGAACAAAACCGCATAAGGCGAACGATATCAAAAGTATCCGAGTCACCAAGAATTCTATTGAGGGACAGGTGACCGCGAGGGGCGGTCGGAAAGTAAGACACACGCTCGTCCTGCATTATAACAATTAAAATATGCAATTTTTAATGTAATTAAAACATTACAAATGTCTAATTGTATGTAACAATGAATCCTAACATATCACAATGGTCTTGGAAAATTACCTCAATTGTATGTGAAGATGTTCTACGACATACAACATAGATCTTGGCTAAAATTATCGAAAAATAGGATGCCTACCAAACCAAAAATGTTATTACTGTACAGTACGTACATTTTTTATTTTTTTACATGTACTGTATTCACAAATTTTTAAGTTTATTAATACAATACACAAATAAGAAACTTTTCAATACAGTATTTTTCCATGCCCAAAGCCAGATTAATGGTCGATCATTCTCTACTGAACAAAATTCACCATTTTGAAAATAAAAACCAACCATATGAATTTTTCAATATAAACCCATTAGTCTTCCCACACCCTAAACTATTTTTCTTATTAATTGGAGTAAATGAATATTTTGAGATATGGGCCAATATCTGCTTTGAGCAGAACTTTGCACTCTTAAAATTAAATCAACCCATTCAATTTTTTTTGAGGCCTATAGATTTTCCAATAACCAATAGCTCTGCTTTTTTTTTTTAATTTTAAACTAAAATTCATGGGAACCCAATCAAATTGATATCGAGATGTATTCTTATATCTATTTTCAGAATAACAGGCCAAACTCACCTCCACTGAATGAAAAGTATCTTTTTAATTTTCAGCCTTCCATCTGTTATTGGTCCACATGATTAAACTACAACAATGTATATTGACACCAAGGAAGAATAGATTACATAATTAGCACAGTACTGGCAAGTCTCAGCACAGTACAAACAACATATGCTCAAGTAGTAACAATAAATTACTGTATGTTATTGTCTCATTAAATTTACCACATAGATTTTGCCTACATAAATTCAAGGTTCAACTGTATTTAATCAAATGTGGACAAATTTTCAAGCTAATTTGTTTTTATTGTACCATTCAAGAAATGAGTTTGATGGGTTTTCACCATCAATCTCATCCCATAGAGGCAAGAGAGGTTCTGAGGGAAGATGTTTTACAAGCTGTTTCTCCAGAGCCGGAACTAGCAAAGAGGCCAGTAATTCCGACCCTCTACGGGAGAGGTGAAGACCATCACACAAAAGGCTCTGCCAATCCTCCTGATGAAAATCCAAACAGAAAAAAAAAAAATTGAGAATTCAGTGAAAGTATATTTGTATATAGTCCCAGAGCATATTTTAATGAAAGTACTAAGTAGCCTATTGATTTAATCTATATAAAACAAGCATGAGTTTCATCACTATACATCACAAAGCAGTCATTATGACTTGCATAATTTAAGCAGCTATTAAATATTTTGTTTAGAAGAGTCAATGAATGACCTACTGACAATAGTGCTTGACAAGATCATAAGAAATTATTTTCCAGTGCCTCTTTCATTCATAAGTAACATTAAAAAAAAAAGACCAGGCTACCTCTACACAATGTATATCCCTCGTCCCATCCTAAATCCTTATCCCGATTCCTTCCAAGTGCTATACAGTCGTAATGACTTTGTGCTTTCTCCTGATAGTTCCCTTTCCTCTACACAATCTAAAGATAACAGTGATAGCCACAAAGGTTAAGGCCAAACTCCGGTGCCATTGGGCACAGGCCAGTAGTAGCCCTCTGGGACAGGAAGAGGGCAGCCCTTAATCAACAGTTGGAAATATGGTGGATATTACGTGTAAATCAGTCAAGTTATAGCAAAAGAGATAAGCTAAAACAACCCACCTGGGATGTAAACAAGTCAGGGAAGTATAAAACCAGCCACCTGGAACATCGTGCAGACAGGTAGGTGTGTCAAGTGAGAAAAAAAAAGTCATAGCTAAAAACTCAAACCCTGACAATAAATATCTGGGGTAAGAGGTGTAAGCAGCCACGGGTAAGAACCACCACTTATGGAACCTCATAGGAATCAGAAACTGCATAGTGATCACTAACTAAGTGATTTACCAACGAACATTCCATCCTATCTTGCACAAGGTTTCTACCAATTGCATAATCAAATCTGCCTCCCAATAAATGACACATCGAACACTTTATGTAGGGCATACATAAATCTGTGTATCTATGTATTTGAGTATGTAGGTTAGCTTAGCATTTTAAAAGCACCGAATCACCTTCTGTGGTTGATTGTTCAATAAACCCTTGAACTATATGTTTAACACATCTCTAAGCCTGTCCATGGAGGACAGAAGAAAATGTATATATGCTGGTTAGCATTGTAAATGTGTGGCCACATCTGTAGTAGAAAATAATAATAATAATAATAATAATAATAATAATAATAATAATAATAAAAAAAAAACACTTATGGGAACCAAGTGCACCCTTAGCAAACGTGTACAGCTCCAACACTCACAAGGAGCAGTGCTAGGCATAAGTGTAGTATGTTAGACAACACACAGCTAACAACTACACTCAACAGATCTCAAAGTGAAAAACAAGTTGCGTGCACTACCCAGAGGCAATGTGACGCAGGGGGAGTAGTAAGCTTGTAGAGAAGGAACCCCTCAGAGTAGGTATCTTTGGTTGGACAGGAAAAATGAAAGCTGACTACCAAAGGGACCTCTAGCCTACCAAAAAGTGGTGTTTTATAAAATAATTAATACTTGATTTTTTTACAAAGATTTCTGTACAGAATTCTTGTTTTAGAGTAAGCACCTCTGAAGTAAGCAAGTAATTTTATGCTACTAGGCCAACTCACTTAGCTAATCTCTAAAAAGAAAGAGAGTTTTCATCGCTGAATGCCTTTTATCTTGCAACACAAATCTCACCTGATTGATCATGGCTGTATGAAGATCAATACAAGGAACCTTCATATCAGCAGCAGCATTAGAGCAAGCCTGTGCATACTTGGCAGTAAGCTCCTCGTCCTTCGTGTAGACTCGGCCACTTTCTTTACAGTTTCTCAGCCAGGCATCACCATCCAGAGCTGGTGGGGTTATTACAATGGGATCAACTCCATCTTTCTGTTAACAAAATGAGAATGTAATAATTTGTTACTGAAGTCATTTCCACTAATGTAATACAAATCATCTTTGGCATTTTTATCTGTATGGTTAATAAATTATAGAAATCTGAAAATGGCTGTATGAATGTAGAAAATGTCTAATGAACAATACAGTGTTACTTAAACCAGTGCAAGGAAAAGGTGCTGTACATTAATATTAAAATATGTTATTCTCTGATTCAGTATGCCATACAGTACAGAACTGTAATGTCATTTTGGTGTATATTTTGAATACCAAAAAAAACTAATACTGTATATATTATCTTGGCATGCTCATGTAATAAGTACAATCTATTTTGCCTATGTATGGTGACAAATTATTCACAATTTATTTGCATATCTTAAGTCACAACAAGGAATAACCCAATTTTATCAAGATCAGCACATTCGTCTCACAAGCATGAGAGAACCCTTGGGCTGGATGGGACCATTTGGCACAATTTATATTAGGTATATTGTATAAGGACATGGGTGTGAAATAGACATGGATGTGTAATGAGGACACAGGTGTGCAATAACAGCACAGACATATAATAAACTCCAGAACAGCATGGGTACAATGTTAGGTGTAAAAATGAAAGGCACCCCCCATGTTGCTCATGAAACAGACAACTCGTGTACAATTTTGAGGAAAGAAAAGGATAGGTCTGCAAGAATAAGACAATACTGAAATTGAAGCCACCATCTGAGACCAAAATGTGGCATGTACTGTGTGACAGTTAAATCTATTACCAAAATGTTCATTAACACTAATATCACTGTACTGTATTTTCCATGTGACACATTTGAAAAACACAACTGATAAAATACCATAATTTGTTTTAATAACAACATTACTGTACTTTTCAATTGTGACACATTTCAGAATAACACAGATAAATTAGCGTAATGTAAAACTTTCAATGACCTACCTGAAAATGTGCGACAATATCCTTCATATTCTGTACATACTCGTGTAGAGGTACATATTGCTGTGTATTTACTGGCTCACTGGCATCATTAGCTCCAAGGAATATTGTAGCTCCCGCAACTTCTTTGAGGTCACTTGCTACATATGGCAAAAGTGCTCGGCACTGACGAGTATTGTAGCCCGAGAACCCTCGAGCAACTACATCTGCTCGCCTGTTGGAGAAATATTTGCTAATACAATTTTTGCCAGTGAGTATTTGTAAGTGTGTATTTCAGAAATATGAATATAGTTGTCTTACTTTGATACTGGAGTAAAGGTATACAATTTCTGAACTATCTTATCTAAGTTTCGTCCTAAGGAAAGATCAGCCGTGATAAGGTTATACCGATACTAGGGAATACTGGAGAACAACGAGTCCTTCTTGGAATAACTGGCATATGATTCATTCACGCACGCAAACACAAAGCCTCTTAAAAGTCTTCCTTGGCATCTCAGGTGACTGTCTATGAAACATTTTCATTAGTGTACTTACCAGTTGGCCTACTCGGTCACCTACAGTCTTGTATCAAAAACAACAAATAAAATAAAAATACTTAATGTCTGATTTCTTTTACATAAAGCTTAAAATGCTGCTAAAAATGAACTTGCTTTTGCAGTCTAAATTTGTTCTCTAGCGGTTCAAGTAGTTGGGCAATGTTGCTTCACTCCATCCTCATATTCCAGCTCCTTGTCCTTATATTCCTTCCCAGTGCTATACTGTATAGTTATACATGATTGGCACTTTCTCCACATCATTTCTGTACTTTACCTTTACCTGACATTTAATGTTTTCCTAGCAGTCTTCTCATTATTATCCACCACAACTCCTGCACATCTTTGCTCATTCCCTCACAATTCCACTCTCCCTTTCCTTTTTAAGCCAACTAGGAATACAGGGGGTCAATCTTTTATAGGCTGACTTGCAGAAGTCACTTCTCTTACCTTTGAAAATGATCTGCTATTAGACCTCCCCAGTATCCTTCGGCACTGAAACAAAACTGCAAGTATCATTAGACAGGCGACAACCCACACTTTTGTCCATATTAGTATGGACGCAAAACTGTGATGAACTTTAAAAGAAAAGTAAAGTAATTATCAATAGAAGGCACCAAACCGGGAAGGCTATGTAGCACCAATCTTTAAAATCTTTCTCAATCACTTTCTCAATTTCTCAAAAAAATAAATCTTTAAAAGAAAAATGCAAGTAGATTTTTATGTGTGATTTGAATTGAACTTCCGAGATATCATTAAAACTGTGATGACATTAGGGGAACTGTACAGAAATGTATACAGTAATTCTAAGCTCCAGATTTATACATCACACTGTTAATAGTTAATAATAGTCGCCTTGTTGCAGGCACTTTCCCTGCCACATTGCACCTTCTGATGCAAGCTCACCCTCAGAGCATAATGAGAAAACTGGCACCAAATAAAGTATAAAGTACTATTAACCCTCAATTTGCCCATGAGCTAGGCCTTCATAGCCTATCTGGAAATTCTCACATAATGAATTTATGCAGAGCAAAATTTACATTACATGGGAAAAATGGATTAGATTTCAAAACTATAAATATATAAAAAAAAATCACCATTTTCTCAATACTGTACACTATATTATTATGGTTAATAAAGAAATTTACCTATACAAGGTGAAGCCTACCAACAAAAATGGTTAGCAGAAGGGAGGACAGTTGAGACGAATTAAGAATAACGCAAATTGTATTATTTTATTTAAAATGCTTAAAAAGTCATATACTGTACTGTATAATCATATATAACATGTTGGTACTGAATTACATTCTTGCAAAGCCCCTAGTGTGCATAGCATTTTGGATTTTATTTATTTATGATCACAAGAACTGTGTGAAATGAAAAGAAAATATATTACAATACTTTATAACTACAAGGTAATGATTTGATGCAGTGGATGAGGCTCAAATCATTCAGTGGATCAATATATGGCCAGCATTAGTGTGTGTGGTGTGTGCAGACAACTTTTTCCTTAGATTGAGGGAACTCAATGAACTTGACAAGCTTCCAGACTTGAACAATGATAATCAATACTTTATCGTAAGATAATTTGATTTGTGCAAACATTAGCAAGGAACTTACCTGAATTTACCTGAGGCCACCATTTCTCTTGTGGCCTTGATGGAAGCAGGAAACCAGTGGCTTGTCAAAGGTCCCTCTATTTTTCCTGACGATTTTTTCCAGCTGGATTTTGAAGTGCAATACAGTATATAGTCTTGGCAGTTATTGGTTTGGCAAGTAAGCGGTACTAAGATCTTACAACCCTGTGGTGAAAAAGCATCTCCTGTTTTCTGTCCTACATTGTGGCTTGTTGAGCTCGAAGCCGTTGCTCAGTGTATGAGTTACATTTGACCTTTTAAATCACTGGTATTTTTAACTTAAGAACTTATACAGTACTATACTGTATACAACTTTACATTTAAATTACAGTTCTTAGGTTTTACCTATTCAGAATTTTCTGAATAGGATCAAATAATTCACTTAGCTAAGCAAGTTACAGTCTTGATAATATAGTTACAAAATTTAATGTACCCGGTATATTTTTATATCATCAATGGGTTCGAGACCAACCACAAGTACAGTACAGTCTCTAAGCTAAGCAACTTATAAATAAATAAATAAATAATAATTAAATAATATAATATGTGGAGAGCTAGTGTCACAACTGATATTTTATCCTACACACTGCCCCAATCCAGTGGGCAGTGGTGGATAGATTACAATAACCCACACTTACTATTTACAGTTAGCAACAGGGGGGTATTTAGCTAAATTTCTGGTAGTATTGTACTGTATTTACAACCCTTTAGTTAGGTACAGGTTCTCTAGGTACTTATTCAGGCTTGATTTGAATAATTTGCATGTCTTTACAGTCCCACTGTGCAATTTATTGGAATCGCAGGCACTCTTTTTTTTGGAAACTACCATATGCTTATTCATAGAAATAATAAATGGCATAAATGCCAAGACATATTTCAGTACAAAATCCAGTTGGAAAAAATCCAGAGAAAAACTGGCAAGCCTCACATAAGCCACCGGCTTCCTGCATCCATTGAGGTCATTACAGCTATGGTGAGCCTCAGCTAAATTCAGATACAGTACAGTACCAGTATATTGAGAGAATTGAGAAAGATATGCAATGCTTTATTAAAATATTCTTGTAGTGCTTTTTCTACCTTACTACCAATAAATTGGATCATTCAGTATAATCCTAGGATGATATGCTTTCATCATAAGACTAGCCTAACATTATCCTTTAAGCTAGGCCAGCATTATACTTCTGGTATAGGCTGACATTATACATTTAGATAAATTGACATTATGCCTTTAGTCAAGATTGATGGGATGGGCCTGGCTAAGGCTGATATTTTTGCAATTTTAACCTGATATGTATTTAGCCTAGAATTACATTTACACCTCTAGCCTAATCTGATGTTACGCCTTTAGCCTTAGCTGCCAATGCACTTGTGGCCGGTCCGTCTAATTACCACAAGCTACACAAGCTTCACAAAGCTTCCTGACAATACGTTAGTAATGAATAAATATGATATATTTACTCATTATAATGTTGGTGGTAAATGTACAACACGAAAAAACATAATTTTAATCTGAAAAAGTATCTTTTTATAAAGAAATTTGACGAAAATAAAAAGCTGGTGATGCCAAATCAAGTCGACGATCCAAGCGTTGGTTAGGTTAGGTTAGGTTAGGTTAGGTTAGGTTAGGTTAGGTTAGGTTAGGTTAGGTTAGGTTAGGTTAGGTTAGGTTTGGTTTGGTTTGGTTAAGTTAGGTTAGGTTAGGTCAGGTTAGATCAGGTTAGGTCAGCCTAACCTAACATATCATATTTATTCATTACTAACGTACTGCCAGGAAGCTTTGTGTAGCTTGTGGTAGCCTGTGGTAATTAGACGGACCCCTTGTGGCCTGTGCGGCCAGTTGCATACTAAGCTGCTGAAAATCAATCTACCCCGGGCAACCATCCACCCGTCTACCCCAGACAACCATCCACCTGTCTACCCCAGACAACCATTTACCTGTCTACCCCAGACAACCGTCTACCTAGCTACCCCAGACAACCATCCACCCGTCTACCCATCTACCCCAGACAACCGGCCATCCGTCTACCCCAGACAACCGTCTACCCATCTACCCCAAACAACCGTCCGCCTGTCTACCCCAGACAACCGTCTGCCCATCTACCCCAGACAACCATCCACCTGTCTACCCCAGACCACCGTCTACCCGTCTACCCCAGACCACCGTCTGCCCGTCTACCCTAGACAACCATCCACCTGTCTACCCGTCTACCCCAGACAACCATCTACCCATCTACCCCAACTGCTTGTCCAAGTAGAATCTAACTATATGAGGCATTATTTCCCTTACTTGTGTAATAGAGTCTCCAAAGAGGAATATCTTGGGCCACCTTACAGCTTTATGGACCGCCATTTGGTGTTATTGGAGTATATAGACAGGTCGCTGGTGGTGCCTGAGGAGCTCCTAGTCTACCTTTAAGACGGGGTGGAAACGCTTTGGCTGTTATATATATATATATATATATATATATATATATATATAGTGGCTTTTATTTGATTTATTTATATATATACAAGAAGGTACATTGGTATTGTGAGAATACATAGCATAGTAGCCTTTGCATATAGCATATATAGCCTTTGTAAGACAGTATTATTCATCAAAATCTGTATTTTCACAAACCATTATATCTTCTTGTATAATTATGTAAGTAAATAATTTTTACCCTGGGGTTTGGGAAAAGTCCATATTGTGTTAATTGTGGGTGTTTGGTAAGGTTAATTTGTTTTTAATTTTAAAATTAAAATAAAAAACTCATCGAGGGGCGAGTTTATTGGTCACTCATCCTGTGAGGAACGGGGTGAGAATAGCTTGAGCTACCTCATCCCTTTGTGTGTATTTTACCTCAATAGACTTATTTCAATTTCAATTCAATTTCAACCCTGTGAGTGGACACATCGCCATAGCAGCATGTACAACACTCCCCAATTGGAAGAAAACCCGCTGGATTGTTCATCCTGTCACTTGTATACCCAGTCACAGCTGGGACTTGCTTAACTCTCTCAAGTGAACAGCTTCTCTAACAAGATGTCTAGTGAGCTCCTGAGTCCCTAAATTGGTGGATACTTTTCTCAGGGTGTAGATAGAGCTTCAGTCTACTAGTGGAGAAGAGTGCAAATATTAACCACCTGGAAAACCTGAACTCTGATCGGGTAGGTGGATAAAGTCTGCTGCAGACTTGGGTTTGTTCTTTATTTTATTTATTTATATGTATACAAGAAGATACATTGGGTTTGTGAGAATACATAGCATTGTGTTTAAATTCCTGTAAAGCCACTAGTACGCACAGCGTTTCGGACTTGACTCACAATCGGGAGTTCTGGGCTCCAATTCCTGGCGGGACAGAAGTGGTTGGACACGTTTCTTTCCACCTAATGGCTCTGTTTACCCTCACGTTGCGTCGGCTGCGGGTGCATGTGCCGGGGCACTAGCAGTAAAGGTAGGGCGTAAGTTAGAACCCTCATCACGGCCCTTGGGGATTTATTCAGTAAAGGAAGGTGTCGAGACGCTCAAAATGTTTCGAAGCGGATGATTCAGATGGTGTTGGGTCTGGCTGGAGGCGTTGTGTTGAGGGTCAGAGGTCAGGAGGCTGTCAGGCAGTCAGCCTGGGACTGCCAGCCTGGGCATTCCTTATTCATGCTGTCGCTGACACGTCCTCAAGTTTCCCTCGTACAGAAGACGCCGAGGTGGAGTTAGTCAGCTGCTGTGAGCTTACAGCCAGGTAAGGGCTCAGCACTTCAGCCTTGATATAAGCCTTAATTGCCGTGTAAATATGAGGACGGGCTGCAGTAGTATAGTCGGGGCCTTTCTTGACTGTTTTGGTATGGTCTTCTTGTTTTGTATGCACTAGCATACAATGTATGTACTACATACATACACTAGTATGTACTTCTTGTATGCTGTATGTAGGGTCTTCTTGTTTTGTATGTACTAACTTTATAAATCCAACATTATGTTTGTAACTCATCATCTATGTATCTACTTTTCCCGAATAATAAAAAAAAACTCAGTTGAGAATTAGTTAAAATTCCGGGCGGGACAAAAATGGTTGGGGGGCATTTTCTATCATCTAATGCACCTGTTCACCTAGCCGTCCCCTCATCGTTACTATAAGTACTACCAAAACAGGAGAATGGGCTGCAGTAAATAAGTACCCATGACTTAGTCACCTTGTTATAGGGCTACTTCCTGGAGGGCAAGGTTGTGTGGGTCAGAAATTCGACCAAAGGGGAACTCACTATAGGCCATAACATATATAAATACACTTTGGCTGCCTGTACTCCGACACAATGAATTAAATTATTATATTATATACACAGTCTGCCTGTCTCCGATAAGATGAATTATTAATGAATGTAATGCAATTCAATTCAGCTACAATTCAATTCGAATGCAATTCAGCTACAGATAGACAACATTAACATCAGTAATAAAAATGATGGCAAGTTTCTTGGCCTATTCCTAGACAAGAGACTAAACTTCAGCATCCACATTCAACACATAACTAAGAAAGTCTCTAAAACATCCGGACTCGCTTGCATTCGTCCCAACTTGGGTTGGCCCACGATCGACTTCTCAGCAAACTTTTGACCTATCCGGCCCTATTTGGCTCACAACCATGATCCATTAGGAGTAATTATTTTTACCTTCACCCTGTCTATCCCAGATTATTTACGGCTTTGTTGTGTTCTCCGTCGGCCTTGTTCGCCTTTTCTTCCTTCCTGTTCCCTGTATTTTTGTTTCCCTCCGTCTTTAGTTACCAATTCTTTTAAAGCAGGTTACCCTGCAAGTTCGTTTTCATTGTTAGGTTTTCTCTAAACCTTTATTGAATGTAGGGATAACTTTTTTACGTCTTGCTGCCTTGCCGGTTCAATCCAGTAGGTTCTATATGAATTGAGTCAATATGGATTTAAGTTGTATTGAAAACCATTATTGCTATACAACTGGCGTGATCTTGGTACACACTTTACATGTGTACTTGATCGGGCTGCTCATATGTCTTTGGTTACGCTCCAAGGGTGTAATGGGCGATGCTTGCAGAGCACAGAGCCCAGAGTGCTGGGCCTCGTCCTGGTGAGCACACTCACTCGCACAGTAAACGTTCTAGCTCCCTTGGTGGTGTTAACATTATATTTGTCAAGCCTTTCCAGCCTTGGTTGTCTTCGGTGGTGGAAGGAAGTGTGTCAAACATTCCGCTGAGGAATGTCTTCCCACTACACCAGTGCAGTACATGTTGGAGGTTTAGCTATGGTGCTCCAACTTGCACAAGCGCTTTGATCTTTTGCCCACTTTGTGGCGAGTTCGGCAATACTAAGTCCATATGTGCGTGAGCCGACCAACTCCTTGCAGTGATGACCACCCTTCGCTCTCGCGACAAGAATGGAACTGTCCATCCTGTACCATAAGCACAAGGACAACATGTACGTCACCCACGGACCTATCCTACACCGGATTAATTTAAATGTCGTCACCATGGTGCCCTCGTCCTGGGTGCTTCAGTCTCCTGCCTCTCCAAAGTCTGGTCCGACCTCGGTGTTTGAGTCAGTGCATCTCCTTTCCCAGTGTGAGGGGTCCCAAAGGACGCCATCTGTACTCGACTTCTTCCCCTCTGCCTCGAATCGAATAATACAGGAGAAGATGCCCAAGGGGCGAGCCTTGAAGTGGGGACAGCTGAAGAGAAGTCGGTGAGAGGAAATGCTGAAGTTGAAGAGAAAGTCCCCTCTGCCTCAACCCCCTCACCAATACATATACGTCACAACCCCCCTCTAATTCTTTTTTGTTAGAACTTATATAAAGAATACATTCTATAATTCTTAAAAATTTAACATAAATAGAGAAATATATTTTAAAATATATTTCTGTTTTTTTTAGCACATACTCTAGATCCAAGAAGTGTTAGTTGGAAGTACTGCACTAATAGGGACTAATTGGCACATGTACTACTTCTAAGGGGCATAGTAACGTTGAAGGTAACCACAGTTAAACCTGAATTTGCCAAACGGTGATAGGTTAAGTAATAATTGTAAATAAGAAGCAATAAGATGCTTTTCTTAACATACTAAGAAGGTTAGGTGAGGTCGGTGTTTTCTATGAAGCTTTTCAAGGTAAACTAAAATATTCACAATCAATTAGTATGTCACATATGCACTTATTAAATAAGCCAATATTGACAGTAAGCAAGTGCAAGAACGGGCTGTATGTTTCCTTCTGACCCATATTCCCAAAACCTTGCGACATCGGGGTTCAGCGTCCAGTGCTCACCGGGTTCCTAACCTCCCCCGGCCCGGTCTCTTCACTTGCCCCCCTCTCGGTAAAAAAAAAATACAACTTTTTGCCTAACCTGCAACGAACGAACCTAAGCAACCCACCTAACCTATCGAGGTCCAAGAACAGAAAGCGTTAATATTACTGATGGTTTAATGTGTACTAATACATCCCATTTTTAACGGATTGGCAGATACCATAGAAAACGCGACATGCTAGATGAAATGACGGGTCGGTCAGCTACAACGCCAGCCACCATAACCGTTTTCTGTAATTGTATATTATGTTTGTTTCCCATTTTTTTTAAACTTATTTGTAAACAAATTGTATATAAAGTGTTTCTTCACTTGGCGCGCTCTTGACAATGAGTTATAGTTACATAAGTTGTAAATCATATTTATAAAAGAAAATAGGTAAATAGACAATTTAAATAATTATTTTTGCTACCAGAGAGGGGGGGGGGAAGGTTTAGAGCACAAACCGGATATTGTTATTAGAGAATCCCACGACTAATTATCCCTAGCTATGGGTGTAGGTAACCTGCAGATACCTCACACACTCACAGAGCTACTCATACAAAACATACACAAACACCCCCCCCCCACAGAGCTACTCATACAAAACATACACACACAAACACTCCCCCCCCCCACAGAGCTACTCATACAAAACATACACAAACACCCCCCCCCTCCCCACAGAGTTGCCAAATAAAAGCTAGAAAGGCCTAAGAAACGCAGGTCTTGGTTTATGGTTGTGTGGGGGCGGGGCTCAGTGCTCCAGAGGCCCGCCTCTGTCGTGTTCCGCTTCTCCTCGTGTTCCTGGGGGTGTGGGGGGATGATTGGGTGCTGTGGGGGTGTGGGGAGGGGGAAGGGTGCTGTGGGGGGATGATTGGGTGGTGTGGGGCATGATTGGGTCCTGTGGGGCATGATTGGGTGGTGTGGCTGACTGGGTTTTGTGGAGAAAGGTTTCTAAGGAGTAAATTAGTGTGAGTGTGTGTGGGGGGGATTGTGAGGGTTGTGATGGTGTGGGGGATTGTGAGGGTTGTGATGGTGTGGGGGATTGTGAGGGTTGTGATGGTGTGGGGGATTGTGAGGGTTGTGATGGTGTGGGGGAGTGTGAGGGTTGTGATGGTGTGGGGGATTGTGAGCAATATGCTGAGGTGGAGG